TTGTTTAGGCATGCTCTATGGTCGTGAAAGGGTTAGAAGGCGACGTGGTGAAAGGAGGAATCCACAGTTTTTTGTTGAAAGACATGTTCGTCACACTGTTGGAGTTATGGTTTGGGGTGCTATAGCTTATGGTTCCAGGTCACCTTTAATCTTCATCAGAGGTAACATGAATGCGCAGCGTTATATCCACGAAGTTCTAGAACCCCATCTTTTACCCTATCTTGACACCCTGGCAGATCCAACTTTCCAACAAGATAATGCCCGACCACATGTTGCAAGAGTCACAATAGACTTCTTTCAACATAATGATGTCACATTGTTACCATGGCCACCAAGATCTCCCGACTTATCCCCAATTGAGCACGTGTGGGATATGATGGGTAGGAGATTGCTCAATTTGCAACGTCCTCCTCAGACTCTAGAAGCACTTCGAGAGGAGTTGGTGGTTGCCTGGAATGAGATACCACAGGAGGACATTGACCACCTGATCAGAAGCGTGCCTAGGCGCGTTGGAGAATGCGTAGCACATCAGGGTGCATCCACACATTATTAAAGGTCAAAGGGCTTTAAAGCAGTGCAATCATTTTGAAATTTTTATCATTTACTTATTATGCTTCATTAAGTACTTATACAAAATTTTATTAAAATAAAACCATTTAAACTGGGTGTTCTGATTTATATGTCACTTAGTAAATCTTAGCGCCATCTATCAAAGTAAATTTCTAAATTTCGCTCTCATACATGGCACTAGGATCTTTTAGATCCTTTTTGGGGTGCGGTATAGTTGGTTCTCGACAGGTATAAAACGTCGATGAATGACAACAGTCATTTATGATTGCTTATCACACCATAAACCTTTGGGAACTTGCAATAAAATTCACGCCTTCGACTCGAGAGGGCATACAAAAAGGTAATTGTCGTTGCGGAAAACTGCACGAATGCGAAGGTAGATTGCATGCTCAAACTCTGCAAAAGAACGATTACAAAATATTGACTGGACTAAATTGGACTAAATGACGGTATGATCAGTGGCGTAGCTAGATGGTCTGTCCGATACGTAAAAGTGTATTGAAATGGATCAGCATTTATAATATGATGAGCAGTATTTAACCGAGATAACAGTGGTACTTCTAATTGTTTGAATGTTGAAAATACCAAACAGTAATATTATAACGAGAAAATTAAGAATTCGACATTTCATCATTTCTACAACCAAACATGTTTTGATAGATAACTGTTTTGTATATGGGCGGTTTCTCGAATCTCGCACTCGACATTTTTACTTCGACAAAATCTCGAAAAGCTTAGACCTGGCGATAATGAATAACGCACGATTTTTTCACCGTCTGCTTGAAAATACTTTTTTCTTCGTTGTTGAACACCTTTTTCCAACACTCGCCTTAAAATCCCATAGCTTTACAAAAGTGATTTCGTATGCGACACTGATATCTATATGACAACCCCAATTCGCTGAAGCGTTCCACAAATCTCGGATGCGAAACTCGAGAAAATCCGCCATGAGACGCCAGGGAAGATACCTTGAGTATCAAGAAGCGATTCGTAGCTTCTGATTCATGATACTACAAAAAGAAATAAGTTCTTATAGTAGTGTCTGACATGTACTTTTAACTTCTTTGCATGAAATAAGTTCTTATACTAGTGTCTGACATGTACTTTTAACTTCTTTGCATTCTTGGCATATACGAGTCAAAAGTGTCCTCTACCAAGTTACCAACGTTTCTACGTTTATTTTTCGCCTTCCTCAGGACTATCAACTGAGGCCCAAAACACGTCCCAAGGGATAACAAACATCTCTTAGGTCAGCTATGAAAAACAAATAAATGGATATAACATGGAAAAACAAAAGTTTTTAAAATATCTAGTAATTAAAAAGAACCACATATATCCAGAATAATGAATTAAACATAATCTTCTGCTGAACCTTTGTGACATTGACAGCTCAGACGGCTATCGCTGTTTAATTCAATGTTTCCTAGTTTAATTATAGACAGTCTTTAGCATTTTTTTTATATTGCTGCTAGCACAAATTTAATGTTAAAATCACCAGTATCAGTAATGAGTTCACATTAAAGTATCGCAGCACGTCGACATATTTAAACTCAAGAAGTTGAAGTGTGCTACTAGGAATGTGTCACAAAAGACGTGTTTGTGTTGGGCTATTAATGCTTTTCTATTATTAATATGACTATTAGAGATATTAAGGAGGAATTCAATATGTTTCCCCTATGTCGAGGACACCCTGTGCTAAACATCCACGCTACGCCTCTTGCACGGTCGACCCTCCTCCTATCATTATCTCCTCTTTTTCTACCCTATACCCTCATCAGAGCATGACATAAAAATCAATAGTTATATCGCCACGCTGGGATGGCCTGTCTCTCGCTGTCACTACCTGCCTGCGATCAGCTGGTAGTTTGCCAACGTATTTATGGCATGCTGGTGTTTACCGTGCCGTTTGTACCCAACCGTATCGCAACTCGCAACCCCACAAGGACGTAACCAGCCACTGTCCTTGCCTTGACTAGCGGGCAGCCAGCCATTGAATGAATGCAAGAGGGGCGGGGGTATAAGGGAGAAGAGAAAGGGTCGGAGGGATGATACCGACTTGGTTACACCACAGTTCCACAAAGGGAAACGTCTCAATGCGGTGCGGTACATGCAGCAGGTTATAGATTCCAGGAAAAGGGAACAGACGATTTTGTCTAGGGCACACTGGGGCGTGTCGAATGTCCCTAGTTTCGCGGGGATTTTTCTCATCAGGTATGCACTGTCGGGAGAATCCTTTTAAAATTGATTCCCCACCGTCTCCGGCTATCGAATTACGTAACTTGATGTGACATTATACGGATTTTTAATGACATTAGGTAGGTTGTTCCGAAAAAATGTCACCTTGGAACTAGCTGTCATTCGCTACATATCCACTTGTACAGGCTGTGCGTGTTGCCTAAATATGGTTTGGCTCTGATGTAACAACTGCTTCATAGATGACACTAGTGGAGAAAATTCATAGCTTCTATGGCTTAAGATGTATAGGTCGTTGTACCATTCACAGCGAGTCCGCGTCACGAGGACAAGCCAGTACACAAGTTGACATTAAACCGATTTTCAAGGACAATAGCCGAGCGGTGCTATAACAGAACGCTGCCCAGGACACTGAAGGCCAGGACGCCCAGCAGGGATTTTACTTAAAAATGACATTAAAAATCGGTATATATACATACCATATATGTCAACTTGTGTACTAGCTAGTTCCTAATCCATGCCACGCTGTGCACGCCATCTATGAAGGTATGGAACAACGTCCTATAGAAGATACAGCTTAAGCCATAGGCGCTATAAATGGCCTGCACTAACGAAATCTCTGAAGAGACGAGAGACAAACCATATAGCTTAAGAATCATGACGTTTAAGCAACATGCATATGAACTGCACGTGAACTTGCAGTGACTGTCAGCTAGTTACTCCGTGATATTTCTTCGGAAAAACGTACATAATGTCATTGAAAATCAACATAATGTCACTTTTTAAGTTGCGTGATACGGGTGCCGCTCCTAAGTATTTTTTTCATCACAAAGTGACAGTTCTGACCGTTCGTCCTCGCTTCTTGCCTAGCAAATAACGAAACACCGAATGGGCGGTATAAATTTGAAAAAATAATCATCACGAGTCTATCTGGCTTGAACAACTTTTGATAGCAGAGCTCTTTCTCGCCGAGAAATCATAGAACGAGACGCCGAGAAATCATTCACAGCAAGGACTCTCGACAATTTTCGGCGAGAATTTGGATGAGGTAATTACGTTGTTTGTCTCGGGAATTCGTTTGAATAGAACATGAAACGCCATTCAGAGAACGCCCGAACCTAGAAACAAGTCGGCAAAAAACTATTTACATTCATATATCACAAAAAATAGAAATTGTTAACTTAGGTGTACATTTTCCCAATTTTGAGGCTTTGTTTCACTGACGATATCATTTCTACGACTTGACGTTTCGATGAGAATTAATTCAGTCATCCTTAGACTCTTTGTGAGCGCAACCACATTTTTACACCAACCAAAATACAAAATAGAACAGAACAACGAAAGGTACTCTTTCAGTATATGTACGTAAACCAAAGCATAATCAAGACGATTGTAGCCTTTACACCAAAAATTAATGTTAATACAATTTATGATAATCCAGTTCCATATTCCAAATTTGGACATGAAAAATGAAAATGATAAAACCCATCGAATAATGGAAATGTAGTCAAATATAAAACTACAGATCCAAATTCATGATTTTAACGTTTTACTAGAAACAACATCTCTTTCTTCTAGAATTATTTGTCATTTTCTTTGTTTAATTATTTCAATATCCTCCATGGCGATAATGACATTAAGCTATAAATGTTTCGAAACTTGTTTTGCATCAAACATTCAGCAAAAACTGTCTAATTCAGGAATATCATACATGCAATATACAGGGTCTGAACTTTTAGACTTTCCTTTTATGAAATAACGACGTTTAGAATAACTAATTTGTGGTAAAACAGCAGCGAAAACCTAAAAAAGAAATTGAAGATGGATTTTACACGATATAAACAAACCTACGCAGCTCTGATGGAAAGATTGAGGAAGTTCTGAATACATTCGCCGAGTATCAGTATAGGATCTTGAAGACGCTCACCGTAAAGTAAATCGAATCGATAAATACGTTATTGCTGTAGTAATGTACCAATTTCGGTTTTTCAAAAGACATTTGTTTATAAACTTGGTTACCCTACACACCGAGCGGCGCCTACTTTGGTATCACAAAACATCCGTTTGCACTTGGGAGGAGAGGGAAGCCGCCCATTTTGAGTTTTTCGGAACTAACATCTCTCAAGGCTTTGGCATGTGTTGCTAAGAAAACAGATTAATTGACTGTCGTATACGCTCTATAAAGGAAAGTCCAGAGTTTGATGACACCATGTATGTATATTTAAGCCAAGTCCTACCTTTGGAGGGTTGAGTATCCTCGGGAAGAAGTAGAGCTCATCCTGCGCGACCTCCGGGTCGTGCTGGTACTTGCGCAAACCCTCTTGGGACAACCTCCTGATCTGCCTGTTGATCTCATCGTACATCGACGTGCATATATACACGTCCGCCTCTGGGATCTCCGTAGGCCGGTCTATAACGTCCAACCGTTTTTGTTACATCATCTCTATCACTTACCTTTAATTCAGTACTATTTCAATTTAATTTCAAAAAGTCGATTTTGCGTTTCTACCTATGATCGTTATTTGGATTTACTGGTCAATCGCATGGGATGTTAAATACGTATTTATAGGCAAAATACCTGGAATATTAAGATTAAAAATCTTTGGATACATCAGCTATTATCTCACCATTATCTCTACTAATATTATAAATGTTAAAGTGTGTATGTCCAGTTTTCACGCCAAAACGGCTGAACCAATTTCGATGTATGTTGGTACATATATAGGATTGACCTTGGAGAAGGACATAGACTACCTTTTATTGTGAAAATAAAACTTTATTAGTAGTTGAAATAAGGGATAAAAGTGACTATTATTCTATAGATCGGAGATACAAATGCGGGGCTTTTATTTTTGGTTCTTTGATTTAATGTAAATGAACAGATACAAAAAATTTTTACAAACTGTACCTATAAGGGGTGAAATGGTAACATTATTGAAGCTAAAGAACCTTCATTATTTCAAATTATGCCAGCCTAGAAGTAGCTGTAGGTTTTGTCTATAATTTCATCTTTAGAATTAAAAGCATTAACCAATATTTCCAGAAATTATATCCCTAGGATGGAGTACGATAGGGTTGGATATTTCTATTTTGCAACAGGGCTGATTAAAGGCGGCTAAGGGCAGACATATGTAAAGCGTAAATATCTGCACACGACCACAAAATCTCGAAAACTATTTGACCTCTGAATATGACAACTGGCAGAGATGCAGCTTATGGACCGTCTATATCAGCTAAGAACAACTTTTTGAACAGGGCTCAATTAAGGGCATATACAGGGTGGCCAATATATATCTGACTGATTTAAATTGCGCGCCATTTTTGATTCACGCATTTCAGTAGGTGGCACCGTGGTAGTTTAAAGCACGTGTCCAATTCATTATGGAGCGCGTTACTTGCAACGAAGCAACGACAAGATTTTGGTCGAAATAATGTGCTCAGTGTCAACACCATTCGTAAGTTGGTGCGGAAAATTGAACAAACAGATGAAGTTGAAGATTTGCCAAGGTCGGGCCGTGGTCGAACTGTTCGTACTCCAGAAAATGTCGAGTAGTTGTTTAAAGCACATGTGTCCAATTCATCATGGAGCGCTACACGAACCCACAACGCGTCCGTATTGTTAAAACGTTTTACTTAATGAGTCGATTGTTGCAACGATTCGGAAGCTACAAGATTTCAGAAGAAATAATGTGCCCAATGTCAACATCATTCGTCTGTTGGTGCGGATATTTGAACAGGTGAAGTTAAGGACTTGCCAAGTTGGGTCGTGTTCGTACTCCGGAAAATATCGAGAGAGTTCGTGAAAGCGCCCTGAGACGTCTACCAGACATCGTTCTCAAGAACTGGTATTCGTCGCACGTCATAATGCTCTATTTTAATAAAAGATTTGCATATCCAGCTATATAAAATTTAGTTAACACAAGAACTTCAGGAATAATCCAAAATAACGATTATTACCGACAAACATAATGAGCGATGAAGCCGACTTCGAAAGACGGATTTGCTACAATCTGAATTGTCGTATCTGGGCATCAGAGAACCCTTTGTGTCATCCATCAACTACCACGAGATCCTCGTCGAGTCACAGTTGGTACGGTGTTTGGAATGGAGGAGTCATTGACATTACTTCTTTGAAGACGCTGCAGGTATTCTCTTAGTGTCACTGACGAGCGCTACCGCGATACGGTGCAAAACTTTCTGGCTCCTCAAATTCAATAAATTTAACCTGCAAAACATGTGGTTCCAGCAGGACGGAGCAACTTGTCACACAGCTAGAGAAACAATGAATCTCTTGCGAACAATATTTCAGAGACGTTTAATTTCTCGATTTGGTGATGTCAACTGGCCACCTAGGTCACCGGATCTAACGGCTCTTGACTTTTTTATGGGGATTTTTGAAAAATGTAAGCCAACAAACCAAATAATGTAGAGCAGCTGAGCAACAAGCGATTGAAAGTATTCCTCCCGAAACCTACCAAAAAGTGATTGAAAATGTAATCAAGAGGGCTCACGTTTGCGCGGCTTCTAGAGGCGGACATTTGCCTGATATTATTTTTCATACATAATTTCTAAGTTTCAATAAAAGATTAAGATGAAAAAATGGACGTATTTTATTTCATTTCACAAATATTCAAGATACAAACCAGTCAGTTACATATCGGCCACCCTGTATGTGCCAAAGCGAAAAGGTGCTCGTTAATAACGAAAGTTCGAGAACAATTTGACCTGTCGACATGAAATTCCGTAGAAAAGTAGTTTATGGACAGAAAATGTCAGCTGAGAATGGTTTTCACATCAGGGCTGAATTAAGGGGAATAAAGGCAAACCTACAATTTAGTAGGAAGGTAGTTTATACGCGGTAAATGTCACCTAAGAACGGATTTTGCTACAGGAACCGTATTAAGCGGTTTATAGGGTATAGGGTTGAAATTCTTTGAATTTCTCTGCTAGATAATTAAAATTTGCAATAATGAGGTTCTTTACAGTACAGTAGAGGTTTAAAATCACAATTTTATAAATAAAGGGGGTCTCAACAACAGCGCCGGATTTGAATTTGCCGCCATTTTTTTGTACAAATGCTATAGTGTTTACTTAATGACAGCTGTCATGTCCAGACCACGCGATTAGACGTCATGGAGCAGAATTCAAACGAGCAACGTTTAATTATACTAAGTAACATATAAATCCGAACACCCAGTTTAAATGGTTTTATTTTAATAAAATTTTGTATAAGTACTTAATGAAGCATAATAAGTAAATGATAAAAATTTCAAAATGATTGCACTGCTTTAAAGCACTTTGACCTTTAATAATGTGTGGATGCACCCTGATGTGCTACGCATTCTCCAACGCGCCTAGGCATGCTTCTGATCAGGTGGTCAATGTCCTCCTGTGGTATCTCATTCCAGGCAACCACCAACTCCTCTCGAAGTGCTTCTAGAGTCTGAGGAGGACGTTGCAAATTGAGCAATCTCCTACCCATCATATCCCACACGTGCTCAATTGGGGATAAGTCGGGAGATCTTGGTGGCCATGGTAACAATGTGACATCATTATGTTGAAAGAAGTCTATTGTGACTCTTGCAACATGTGGTCGGGCATTATCTTGTTGGAAAGTTGGATCTGCCAGGGTGTCAAGATAGGGTAAAAGATGGGGTTCTAGAACTTCGTGGATATAACGCTGCGCGTTCATGTTACCTCTGATGAAGATTAAAGGTGACTTGGAACCATAAGGTATAGCACCCCAAACCATAACTCCAACAGTGTCTTTCAACAAAAAACTGTGGATTCCTCCTTTCACCACGTCGCCTTCTAACCCTGGCACGACCATCGTGCATGCCTAAACAAAATCGAGACTCGTCACTAAAGACAATACTGTTCCATTCCTGATCCCAGAGTGACCGTTGTCTGCACCACTCAAGGCGATTACGTCGGTGTTCTCGAGTTAAAGGGAGGACCCAGTGTGGCCGGTATGAAAACAAGCCAAAACTTCTCATTCGTCGGTAAACACTTCGCATGCCAATAGGTCTTCCGTGTTCTGCAAACCATTCATTTGCAATGGACCTGGTAGTGGAGAAACGGTCCCTTAAGGCCAATAATCTTAGGCGGCGATCTTCACGGTCTGTTGTTCTACGGCGGCGTCCAGTGCCCCTTGCTCTTTGCGTACGGCCTTCTCGAAGCCATGCCTGACAACACCTAACCACAGTGTCTACACTTCTTTGCACACTAACTGCAATTGCCCGAAAAGAAAGTCCAGCTTCCCGAAGTCCCACTATACGGCCCCTATCAAACTCACTAAGTTGACGAAATCGTACAGGTCTCCGTACTCTAGGCATCGTAACCGATCGTAAAGGATGTCAAGAACCAAAATCCGCCAACGTTGATTCTTTACTGCGGCTGAAATATTCATTTTTAGAGCGTTAGTGAAAAAAAAGCAGTATAAAAACCTGAATGTCCAACTGGTAAGGCTGAAAATTTTTTCACTTGTTATTTACAGTAAGATAAATACATTCACCAACTTTTATTAAAATAAAACCATTTAAACTGGGTGTTCGGATTTATATGTCACTTAGTATATTATGAAAACTCACTACAAAACTGGAGAAAATTAAGCGGAAACAAATTATGCACAATTTTCGGTCGCAATACTGCGCCAAATGAGTCGACAGTTCGCCGATAAGTTACAAAATTTGAGACAAAATTCACGTTGCTGAATGTGAAGACCACTGTTCGTCGCCGTCCTGGTCGGTCCCTCGAAAATATAGTTGCAGTGCGGGAAAGTGCGGCCGAGAATCCAGGCACTACCATTCGGCAACGTGGCCAAGAATTGAACCTTACCAGACCCATTCTGCAACGAATTTTGACAAAACATGCGTACAAGGTTTCAACTGACCAAATTGATGCGGATTTCTCGAAGAAAATCATTTTCTCTTCTTATGAGGAACATTTTCAACTGAACGGGTACATCAATAAGCTGAACTGCCAAATTTGGGGTTCTGAAAACCTTCGTGTAATAATCGAACAACCAATGCATCCGCCGCGGGTTACCGTTTGGTGCGCATTCTTGAATGGCGGAGTTATTGGAGCGTATTACTTCGAAAATGCAGTTGGAACTGTTAATGGTGTGCGGTATCGTGAAATGTTAACCGAGTTGGATCGATTTGATGTGGAGGATATGTCCTTCCAACAGGACGGTGCGACCTGTCACACAGCACGCGAAACAATTGTGTTACTGCGGACCAAGTGTCCAGACCGTGTCATCACTCGGTTTCGCGATCAAAATTGGCCAAGATCGTGCGATCTAACGCCAATGGACTTCTTCCTCTGGGGCTATATGAAGGAAACGCTGTATGCGAACGAGCCGAAAACAGTTGAACGCCTTAAAGAAGAGATACGGCGCGTTATCGACGAAATAGAGCCACAGTTATGCGAAAACGTTATCCAGAATTTTACGAAAAGACTGACCCTCAGTCAGAGGTTTCGTGGTGGTCATTTAGCGGATGTCCTATTTCATGTTTAATCGCAATTATTCATCTTCATGTTAAAATATAAATACTCGCTTAATTCGGAAATAAATTGTGTTTTTCTTGAAAATCAAATCCGGCGCTCGTATTGAGACACCCTTTTTTCCCTTTTCTAACTAGAAACTAGGCAGGTATTTTCACAATGTAAAATTTGGTTTAATCTGTGTTAAATTTAAAATGTTAGTTATTTAAACAGTTTAATGGCAACGAAGTACATGTAATGATGTATAGATATTAAACCAAAATACATCAGATTAAATTGGACAACATGCATGCAATAATGTTTCCCCCTATAAAAAGTCATGAAACACTTCATATTTCAGAGCTGCCTTCTTCAGCTTTCAAACATGTTTTAATCCCTTTCATTAACATGTATTTATTTAATATAAAGCATGCATCGTACTTACACATTATGTAATCATTATACTCCATCACATGGCACCTGCCAATAATACTGACAATGGGGTTGACATCTTCTAGTGTCGACAGGAAGACCTCTTGGCGGTAGAAGAGCTTGCCGGGAGTTGGAGGAATGTCCGAGGGGGTGATGAACCAGGGTCCGCGGAAATAGCACTTGCCACTGTAATGAAAAAAAAAGTCAAGATTTACTCGCATTTTACTTTTCTGCCTTAGTGCGTTTATTATTGCAAATGAAGACGAACTGAGCACAAATTTCTTTCATTTCTCAGATCTCCATTTTTGAAAAGTTTGTAGGTGTACTTTGTGTGGTCACAGATTCCCAATTGATAATGATTTACCTAGTTTCCTTTGGCAACATTTAATTTACATTCTTCATTTTGGTACAGAAAGACAATGGATCAGAGCAATTCTTATGAGAAGCTTATACTTACTCTTTAGTCTCCCAGATATGATCAATTTGAGCAATGATCTGCTTTCCTCCCTCAGCCACAACATACACAAAGTCGCCAGTCTTAACCACACCCGAACAAATCGTGTTGAACTGTTCATAGTACGTATTGCCGTCGTCTATTGACATACCCGCTGGTACCGGAATATTCTGAAAAAAAAAATGATGACATGAATAATTTATGCCACACTATTCAAAAACTTATAAAGGCGAGTAAGACTAAACATTGTTGGAAAATTTGCAAAAATAATTCTTTCCAGGCTAACTAGCGAGAAGGTATCAATCGAAAAAAAAAAACGAAATCTGGATATCATGTTTTTTGGATGTTCACGGAAAACAGTGCCTTTCAATCATGTCGATCTGAGCGTATTTTGATGAAATTTTCGTATAATATTGCTATCATTCCAAGCCGAAAACCATATGAGCAAAAAGACATACTTTTCAGAACCTCTCAAAACTCCTCGGATTTCCGATATAATTTCGGCATGATCAATAAACATTTTTTGGCAAGGAAAAAGCGTTTATCCATGCTTTTCAACTTGCTGGTCATATTTTTTATTAACAAAGGACACCTTACCGGTTTCTCCTTCTGGATGAGCTGCTCCTGTTCCTCAAGTTCAGCAAGCTCGTCCTTGTGTTTTTCCACCCTTTCCCGGAATACTGACATCACCCTCTTCGGTTCCAAAGGCGTTTCTCTAGGTACCAACTTGATTGTCGGGTTTTCAGGGTAAATCTTGATCTTCTTGAAGTTACGATTTCGCACTGAATATCGAGATTCACACACGTAAACGTCTTTGTCTTCAAAACCTATAACAGAAAATAGAAACGTTAAGAAAACGGCAGAATCATTGTCATGAGTTCTGTAACATTCAAACTGTCTGGCCGGCTCAAACCAGATATGTTCTACTTGCTGTTTATTGTACGACATGTCGGCTTTTTCAATGGCATTTAAAAGCCGTACAATAAACAGAAATTAAAACATATATGTATACAGGGTGTTTCAGTTTATTGTTGCATAACTTTAAGATTCGATAGAACTTTTAAAATTAATGCATAAAGTCTATATAAACATGGGTCGAAAAATGCGGGGCTTCCGAAATACAGGGTGTTTAAATTTACTTTCTAAAATAGTTTTTTTTTTAAATATTTCGAACAATATTTGATGTATAACAGTGAAAATTGGTATACAAGGGTTTTTTAGTACGACAAAACGAACCATGAGCATAGTTTTACTGTAGCCGCTAGAGGGCGCTCTCTACTGTACCTGTAGTGTATTAAAATGACCGACAATTTTTTCTTAGTGCAATTTTTTGCTTTTTGAATAAAAAATCTGATTCTTCGCAATTTTCAACATAAAAAAGCTCTCTTGTGAATTTTCGTTATAGTTAGGGGTTTTTGAGATATTTCGATTTTTAAGGTTCGATGCATTTTTAATTATTCATGATAAAATAACGTTAAAAAGTCAGCATCTCGATAATTTTTAGAAGTAGGCTGTGCCTGCAAATATTTTTGAAATTGAAAGCAGAATAAGGTTAAACGTCAGTTAGTTGACAGTTAGTTTTGTTGTCTGTTGAAACCTGAAACGTTTTTTTGCAATTGTGAATGCACGAAATTTAGTTTCTTTTACCTGTTTTTTTTTTGTAAGTTTTATAAAAATGCAATTTTTATTCTCCAATCAAGAGTTAGCGGATATTCATTTTGTGTATGACTTTGTAAATGGAAACGCAGCAGAAGCAGCCAGAGAATACGCACGAAGATTTCCAAACAGACGACATCCAACTCGCTCAGTATTTGTAAGAGTGCATCGCCAAATAATTGAAAATGGTTTTGGAAATCTCCAAAGGGATCAAAACAAAAATATTCGTCAGCGCAGATTTACCCGTATGATTCTGCGTGAGTTTGATAGAGATCCGACCACAAGTGTTAGGAGAGTTTCTGGTGCCTTGGGAATTTCAGCAAGCCATGTTCACCGTGTTCTTAGAAATGACCATAGACGTCCTTACCATTTGCAACCTGTGCAAGGATTACAGCCAGGGGACGGAGAACGAAGAATCACATTTTGTCAGTGGATTCTTGATAGAACTGATAATAATAGGGAGTTTTTAAGTAACGTTTTATGGACCGATGAGTCACGCTTTACCAGACGTGGAGAGGTAAATTTTCATAATCAACATATTTGGTCGCATGAAAATCCGGATACAGTGCGGGAAAGAAATTTTCAGCATGAATTTAGTGTGAACGTGTGGATTGGTATATACCATAATCGACTATTTGGACCCTACCTTTTGCCTGCAAGGTTAAATGGCGACCTTCTTGGAATTTTTAAAGGCTGAACATGCAAATATGTGGGATGATGTTATGTTAGATTTAAGAAGATTGGCCTGGTTCCAGCTTGATGGTTGTCCAGCTCATTATTCGAGAATAGTTAGAAACTGTCTGGACGAAAATTATCCAGAAATATGGATCGGCCGTGGAGGACCAGTCGCCTGGCCTCCACGATCCCCTGACCTAAATCCATTAGATTTCTTTGTGTGGGGATTTCTAAAAGAAATAGTGTACCAGACTCCCGTAACCACAAGAGATATGCTAATAGACAGAATCAGGAATGCATGTGATGAAATAAGGCCTTATTTGAATAATGCTATACCACGTTCGATCATTCGTAGATGTGAATTGTGTATTGAACAATTGGGTTTACATTTCGAGCAACTACTTTAGATTTTGTATGTTTGTCCTAACTATCCAATAACATTTTAGTTGTAAATAATTAATTTAATTTGTTAAAAATAATATTGGAAACTTAAACAAATTAATATTCTGTTCTTTTGTGTTTATTTGGAGTTAGGAATTATTGCTGTGTTTAAAAACACGATCTAAACGATCATCTTAATTACTTGTAATGCCCAAATCGAAAATGTAAAAAAAAAATTATTTTCCCATAAATAATTAAAAATGCATCGAACCTTAAAAATCGAAATATCTCAAAAACGGCTAACTATAACGAAAACTCACAGGAGACCTTTTTTATGCAGAAAAGTGCGAAGAATCAGTTTTTTTATTCAAAAAGCAAAAAATTGCACTAAGAAAATTTTTTCGGTCATTTTAATACACTACAGGTACAGTAGAGAGCGCACTCTAGCGGCTACAGTAAAACTATGACCATGGTTCGTTTTGTCGTACCAAAAAACCCTTGTATACCAATTTTCACTGTTATACATCAAATATTGTTCAAAATATTTAAAAAAAACTATTTTAAAAAGTAAATTTAAACACCCTGTATTTCGGAAGCCACGCATTTTTCGACCTATGCTTATATAGACTTTATGCATTAATTTTGAAAGTTCTATCGAATCTTAAAGTTATGCAACAATAAACTGAAACACCCTCTATAAAAAAGAACTTCACAAACGACAAAAAAACAGTGTTCAAAACATGTTTTAAACAAATTGGTTTAAAGAGTTTAAAACAAATTGGTTTAAAACACCTTCATTGTTTTAAACAGTGATTAAAACGTAACAACCCTGGTCATATGCACATGAAAACCACAGGAGTTACACTACTCAAACTGTTATTTAAAAAATCATGTTTTGATAAAGTAACGACAAAATCGGAAGCAGGTAATCTTAATATGCCACCATTTTACGAGCCTCACCGCCCGATGGCGCCACTATCGCAAGGGAACTTAACTATCCTAAATATGTTCGTAACTTAAAAAAAATCATTTATACGCCACCGAGATGCAAGGCGTCAAGTAATCCCTGAGTTTTGAATCGCTATCGTTATATCTATATATTGTTAAAACGATAATATGCGTACCCTCTGGCATCATGAGATAGTACTGTTTGACATTGACCACGCAGCACTTTGATTTGATCTCCTCTAATGGGACAGTGACATGCTTCTCTGACTTGAACACCTCCCTCTCTAAAAACTTCCTCGTCGACAGATGGAAAGTTTCGGCTGGCCTTAGGTAATAGTTTCCGTACATCATCTTCTTGCCGGCATTTTCGAAAAAACGTTCTATGCACACTATGTGCGGTTCACAACCTTTTTCCTGAAAGAAAAAAATAGCACATCATATTTGATTCGGAGAAAAGTAGTCTGATCTATTTACTATGAGCTGAGCTGCAAAAGTGACTAAATATAAGAATTTCCTACTTCCACGAAACCAAGGATTGACATTTCAAGCCTCCTCATTGTGTACTTATGGGTGATAGGACAGTTATCAAATATCTTTCTGAAGGAAAATGTAGTCCTCACCTAACAGGTTATAAATTATTAAACGATCGATGATTCTGGTGATTTTTTGGGGAATTGAAGTTAAGACTGTTGAGAGGTTACTACATGCATGATCGTAAGGAGTCCTCAAATCAAAACGCCACTTTCTTCCCCGAAAAAGGTAAGTTCCTGTCACTCACAACTCAAGTCCTCACATGCCTCGTGAATTTCATAACCATTTCCAAATATTTTATAAGAATGAAAGTGACATACCTTCGCTTCTAAATACACGAACTCCCCAACCTTGAACGTCCTCTCCCCATCCTCCTTACAAGTAGTCATCTCCTCAGTTTGATCACTGCCCTTTGACTTGATGGTATCTGTGGCATCTTTGGAAGCATCGGTGTCGGTCTTGGATGCTTCTGGCGTCCCTTCTGCACTCTCGGGTGCTCCTTCTGCCCCCTCAGGTGCTTTCCCCTCCTCGCCCCCTTCAGCAGGAGGCGGACCCCCCTCGGCGCCTTCAGCCGGTTCACCCTTGGTAAGCGCAGGGCCCATCACAACGGTAGAGTCGTCGGAGCTGCGGGTTTCGTTCGCATCTTCTTCCAGGGATTCTTTCAGGTGTTTGCTTTGCCTTAGTTGCTCCACCTGTAATAAAATATCATAAAATTATTCATTCGCTTAAAAAAAGACACACAAAAACGTCATTTACTGGATGGCACTATCTTGACCCAGCTTCTTTAACCCGCCTGAATAATATGTGCTCGGCGAGTGGCTTTTTCAAGTTTGGAAACAAAACGAAGTCACACGGGGTCAAATACAGTGGATGAGGCAACAGTTCGTAGCTTAATTCGACAAGTTTGGCCGTGAGGACGGCGGAGGTGTGGGCCGGTGCGTTGTCGTGGCGGAAGAGCATTTTTTCCTTCGCCTTTTTTTCTGCAATTCGGCGCCAAATCGGCCCAATAATTCGGCATAGTTGAGCCATGTGACCATTTTGCCTTTCTCCTGGTAGATGATGTAGAGCCCTTGTGAATCCCAGAAAATGGTGACCATCACCTTTCCGGCCGATAGGACAGTATTCGCCTTCTTCGGAGCACGTTCGCCGGGTGAAATCCACTGTTCCGACTGTTCCTTGATTTCTGGTGTATACCAATGGATCCTTGTTTCGTCGACGGTCACCAAACGTCGCAGAAACTCCTTCCCAAATTTCACTTCTGTCCTACTCACAACAGGTTTATCTCCTATTTTCATTGCGCTCTACGGGAGCATTGAATATATTTCTATCGTAATGTTTTAAGGGTAAATTTGCGGTGAAATCTATGTGGAGATATGTCTAATGGGTGCGTGTTAGAGACGAATAAATATACTAACGCAAAAACTGCCCTCCCCTAATTTCTCTCATAAAAAATCCAAAAACATGCAGGTTCCTCGTCCCTATGTGGCTGTAGAGCCCAGGATCAGTTTCTTTGCCTATACGGAGATATTCCTCCACCTCAGAAAATGTAAATTTTCTGTTATAAGCCTAATTATTTTTGCGGCTAATCCCAAGCAGATTGGTGGCCCGAGGATATTTCACGTGAAGGTAGAAAAAACTTTCAAACAAGATTTTCGTCAAAATCCGTGCGATTACCTTAGCCTTGAGGTCTTCAGCAGTATAAGAGAGCGCCGTCGACGAAAGCAATTCTCCATTCTTGCACAGTGAATCTCTCTGACTTATAAAATACAGCTGCATCTCGGTGGCATCTTCGAACAGTTGAGAGTCCGTACGGCTGTGTTGACGCGCACGCTCCATGCACGCGAAAAAATCCTCTTGGAACACGTCCAGTCGTTTGTACACGCCCTTCTGCAGACGCCGCTTGATCAGGTCCAAGGATAGCGCTCGAACTCTGTGGACATTAAAAAATGGCGTTAAGTAGCTTGGGACTTTCTACGCAATGCCGTCGTCAGCCCACAAAGAAAAAAGTACAACAGAGAAACTATACGGACCAAGTCAGTCAATTAGTCTATATACATTATTTCCCTGCCCTACCGTTAGTTACTGACCATCTGGCAACGTTGTCCCTTCCCACACCTGCACAACAGCGCCCACCGAGGCACCGCAGCAGCGAGTTATCGTTGTTTTTCCAGCTTCAGTACGCAAAGATTAGTCAGCCTGACTGGTACGCCGCGCGGTGAGCTTAGATAGCAAGAGGCGGCGAATTGAAAATGTCACATGAAATCCAAATTTTATTATAGTTCCGCGCCCACTGACGTAGGAAGTAAAAATAAAGTCTTCTCAAACAGTTTTACTAACCGCCAAACTGCGAAAACTCTTAGCGTCATACGTATCAGGTGTTGAAAAAACGACTTGGCGAGTGGTAGAATATTTATTGGGTAAATCCGACACTAGTATTTTTTGGATGAGCATTGTTAGGTGGTAGCAACGGAAGAGGAAAATGTTAAAAAGATTGCAACCAAATCTTATAGGAGTTTTAATACAGTGTTCGGAAATACCTGTAAAACCACTGGTTATCGAGATATCAGTGATTGATGGCAAAATGCTTCTTTTTCGTTCAAAGTTTGTTGAAGATTTATTTAGCATTAATGCTAAAATGTCAATTTTGTATAATGATTCGGATATATATTTTTCCTCATTCTATTTTCCGTAATTTTACATTCTTGTCTATTAAAATTACATCACTATGCATTTTGATCATTCATAAAGTGATTTTTTAGTTTCACCTTAAACATTTTTAAATTCAAACACTGTTTAATATCATTATTTATTAAATTCAAATACTCCCTTGTGAAATATAGATTTACTAGTTATGTTACTATTACAATTTTGCAGTTGAAAATCTATACTGCCTCTAGTTTCGTTGTTATGATAATTACTATTCAATTTTGTCAAGTTTTCTAAATGTGGTGGTAATAAATGATTTTTGAATTTTAATATGAAAACGAGAACTAAATATAAAATTTTTCACATTCAACCAATGAGTTCTTCTAACATAGACTTAATCCTACCATATTTGTTTTTATTTAAAATGATTCTCATAGCTTTATTTTGTAGAATTTGTAATTTGAAAATATGTTTTCATTTGCTCTAAATAAGACGGTTGAACACTATAAAAAATAGGGAAGAGTTACAGTGTTATACACAATTTTTTTTTAATACATACTAAGATTATGGGAAACTCTATAGAAGTATTTTTTTTAGATATTTTTGAAATAATGTATTCATAATGCTCGTGAAACAGTAGTTTACTATCCACATATATACCAAGATATTTAAATGATTCGACTACTTCAATTTTTTCATCATTAATCATGAACCTAATTGTATTCCCACCTAAATGTTTCCCTATTGACAAACATTTTGTTTTATTAGAGTTCAATTTAAGTTTATTGACATTTAACCAATTCATAATTTTTTTAATATCAGATATCTCCGTGACAAATGAACGTAAAAAACAGGATATGGAAGCTGAATAGACTGACTATCGGATCTATATAATGGCCTAACAGAAAAAAAAAGTTTTCAAGCCCGACTAAAAAAAAGAAGACAATAATTTTGCAAAAAAATCTTGAGCTATCTAAATATTTTAGCTGAAAAACCTGAAAACTAGGATCTTGAAGGTTCAACATGGTTTCTTTGGTGTCTAGATACGACCTTTTTTCACCAAAATACAGTCAAAAATCACCGAAGATTTGGATTTTTTCCAAAAGCCCGAGTGCTGATCTTTGGATAATATTTGGCTGATTCTACTTACTTTCTGCCGTCGACTTCCTCGTGTTCAGGCAACTCCGCCATAGAATCTGAATAACACCTGCCATCGTCATCCTGGTGGTTGTACACGGTGGTGAAAAGAGTCAGAAGGATATCCTGAACAGCAGCTTGAACATCAGGCGCTACGTCATCGTCCACGCTTTTCAGCTGAACTTTCGTCTGCATGCAGACGCTCTGCAGCACTAACGCGTCCTGAACAGAAAACAACAGTTTATTCTAAAGTTAATTTTTAGGCATGTGTCATATCTTCGGAAAAATTTGGTATTATTTAAAAACGTTTATCAAAACAAAACAATTAGAGGAGGTGGGTCAAGGAAGTTTTTGGGAATATATAGCGAAAAATTTTGGGAGATAAACATCAGGGTGTCCAAAATATTTTTTAATTAACATATGAAAATGGGTGCCAGACGATTTATCTGAAAATTGAGTTGAGCTGTCCTGAATAACAGTTCTCATTTGACCATAGAAATCCTATTATTAGTTTCTGTGACACAAGGAAAGCAACTTTGTCTGATTTGCAATACAGAAAGTATTTCCATTAAAAACCTTTCATTAGCGAGGTGCTGGTAGATGTCATGTTGATCTTGATCATGATCCTTACAAGGTCAATTTAAGGGAAAATATTTGTATATGCTGACAATGAAATGGATCTGGTAAAAGTTGTTCGACAATTAAAAAAAAGTATGCATTTAATCAATTAGTCGGGGTTGTTTAGTTCTCTTTATGACCTTTACAAGATCATTTCAAGGTCATTTTCATTCTAAACTGACCTTTGCCAAGACAGTTCAAGACCATGTTGATTTTGAACTGACATTTACAAGGCCAGTTCAAGGTCATGTTGATTTTGAACCGAGATTTACAAGTCCAGCTCAATGTCATGTTGGCTCTGAACTGACCTTTACAATGTCAGTCATGCTCATATTGGCCCTGAACTGACCTTTACCAAGCCAGTTCAAGGTCATGTTGATTATGAACCGACCTTTACAAAGTCGGTTTAAGATCATCTTGAGAACTGACCTTTACAAAGTTAGTTCAATACCATGTTGATTCTGAACTGACATTTACAAGGCCAGTTTAAGGTCGTGTTGATTTTGAACAGAGATTTACGAGTTCAGCTCAATGTCATGTTGGCTCTGAACTGACCTTTGCAAAGTCAGTTTAAGGACATGTTGGATCTGAATTGACCTTTATAAGGTCTGTGGAAAGTCATTTTGATTCTGCACTGACCTTCAGTTCATGTTAATTGTGGACTGACCTTTGCAAGATCAGTTCAAAGTCCTTTTAATTCTAAACTGACCTTCACAAAGTCAGTTAAAGGTCATGTTGATTCTGAACTGACCTTTACAAGGACATTTCAAAGTCATGTTGATTTTGCAGAAGAGAAATGTGAGCATGTCTTGAAGTATTACAATTTATTGACTATTAATTTGAGTTTTAAGGATAACACACTCCAATCATGTAGAAACCATATAAAAAAGCACAGGTGCATGTGCGGGGTGTCAAAGCACTATAAGGAAGGATGTCAATATTTGCGATTAGTGTATTTTCTGATATATTTTTTATCCTTTACCTTGTAAATCTGCGAATCAGGCTCGTTGAACTTGCACGCGTTGTCGAACATTAGCGTAAAATCCGCCACCAAATCGTCTAAAGTCTCGTACTGATTCGTTTTTAGCTTAAAAGATAAGCGCTCCATGTCGATAGGTTCCTTGATCACCTCGTAGTAGTCAGGATAGTCAATCTTCGAAGGTAGCTTCATGAAGATCAAAGATAGTTGTCTATTGTCTTTAGGTTCCCGATAGTCTTTGATTGTGTCATATAGGGTTTTTAGGTAACGTTCTTGGTTGCATATCAGCTTACGGGGTTTGTACCTGTAACAAAAAAGGATTTTTAGTTGATAGTGAATAAAAAGTGAATCTCATACGAAAATGTCGTGACGAAAATAGCATATTGTGAACCGGCATCACCTGTATTGGAAAAAGGACGATCGTACAAGATCCAGAGCACTTACGCCACATTGTACGTCCTCCCCAGGGGTCGCTCAAGGCAGAGCACGTATCATCCCGCATGTTCTTGAAACCGGAACCCCTATTACGTAGCTGGAAAATGATAGGGACAGCGATCCGATCGATATAATTGCCACTTTGGAACTAGCTATGATTCACTTGTTCTTGTAGTAGCTGTGCGTGTTGCCTAATCGTCAAAATACAGGGTGCGGCAGAGAGGATGGACGGTTTTAAAAAATCATAAAATAGTTAATTTTTACTCGAAAACAAATTTATTTCTGGAATCAGGTTCACAAGGAAATAGCATTTGAGACAGTCAAGTGTGGAAAATCACATCAGGCCGAAATCGTTGATGCAGTGCTGGAGGCGTTCTTGGAAGTTCGCGTAGACTCTCTCCAACATCGCTCTCTCAACTAGGGCGACTTCCACGCGAATTTCGCCCTTCAATTCGTCCAGAGTTCGGGGCTTGTTCGCGTATACTCTAGCCTTGAGGTGTCCCCATAAGAAAAAATCGCATATGGATAAATCTGGGGACCGAGGAGGCCAATGAACATCGCCAAACCTGGAAATAAGGCGACCAGGGAAGAGAGGGCGAATAACGACCATGGATGCTCGGGCTGTGTGGGCGGTCGCCCATCCTGCTGGAACCAGACACGTCGGATTGGAACACGTCGCCATCATAATTCAGGGAGAAAGAAGTTGGTGATCATGTCGATGTAACGCTCTGAGTTCACGGTAACATCACGACCATTACCGTCTTCGAAGAAGTAAGGGCCAATGATGCAAGTTTGCGATACAGCGCACCAAACAGTTATTTTTGGGCTGTGCAGCGGTCTTTCGTGTAACTGTTGCGGATTTTCATTAGCCCAATAACGACAATTCTGCTGGTTAAGTGAAAGTGGGCTTCGTCACTCATAGGCGAAAACGCGGTGCTTCACCGTCCAAGGCTCCATAACGACAACTGGTAAAATAATGCTAGGATCTCACGAGTCAAACGGCACCCTCCCCACCTCTCTCGTAGACGGACTTGGAGAGTACTACCCATCCCAAAAACGTACGTCCTCTCTGCCGCACCCTGTACTTAAGCTATGTGCTGAGGCTCTGATGTGTACATGTTGAGCCAACCGTGGACCTATTGCGAGCTGTTGGAACCGAATGAAAAGCTGTAAGTAATTAGATAATTTTAAGAAAGTACTCTAAGAAAAAATGGCGGCAACGTTTATTAAAAAAAACAATTATATTACTGCGTTTTAATGCGAAACCACGCACTGTTTTCGGTGACCGTCAAAGAACCGCAAAGCTTGTCCGTAAAAATCTGACAGTCCCGATACTCTCAAGACCTCTCACCTATTTTTGGCGTCACAACATGTTTGAGACTAGAACGACTTCCAATAAGCAATTGATCAATTTATCATACCTAGAGATGAGGCGTTTTATAAACATCGAATAAAAGATAGCATGAGGCCATGAATGATGATAAGCCTTATATTATTCATTAAAGATTATCCAAGGTATGAAAATTTTGGCTTAAAAACAGCCCGAGCTTTCCGATAGACCTAATAATATATGCACTTACACTCTAGGTGAATCCTTAGCTCTCCTAAAAGTTCCATCAGGCGACCGATTGCAGCTCCCCGGCGGCCTGCCAGGCCCGGGCCCCAACCGTGGCTTCACCGGCTTGATCACCTTCACGTCCAGGTACTTCTCCAATCGATTCGCATCTTCAAAAATCGGCGAGTTTTCCTCGTTAAACTGTCGACAGTTACTGAACATTAGTCGGAAGTCCTTTACTAGGTCTGCTTCGCAGCTGTACTGTTCTGCCTTGATCTTAGCTTCGATTTCTAGGAAGTCGATCGGTTCGGCTATGACTTCGTAGTATTCCGGATACAATTTCTTCGAGGGTTTTTCCATGAAGGCTAACATCGGTTTGCGACCGTCTTCGCACTGGAAATAGATACATAGGCGTCTGAAGAATACAATCATTCTTATTGACAAAGCTAAGTTAAAACTAAACTGTAACATAATTACATATGTGGAGTAAGTGAATTAAAGAACTAATACAAGGTACAGTGGACCCCCGATAATTCAGCCCCTGTCTAATCCGGCGCCCCCTGTAATCCAACATGTCTTTGAATATGTATTACATACATACGTATTTGACAATCTTCGCTAATGTAGATCACGCAGGTTTGAACAGGTTACAACTTGTACGCGCCACCGCTATCGTGCTCGACGCGTAAGCATTGTTTTACTTGGTTTGAATTTGACTACTTGTGATAGCGGTACGGCCTAGCGTGCGTTCATTGTTTACTATTTATTCATTGTGTATTAAGTATAGTTCCTAGTAATGTCATCACAAACTCAGAAGCGACAGCACAAAACATTGACAATTACAAAAAAATGTGATATTTTAGACCGCTTAAATCGCAATGAAACTTTCAGTAGTTTAGCAAGTGTAGGCCGATCTACAATTTATGACATTAAAAGAAACTACGAGAAGATCAAGAAGTACCTGTCAAATACTGACTGCGGGCCCGGCAAGAGACAGACACTCAAGAAAGCTAAACATCCAGAAGTGGAAGAAGCTTGGTACATGTGGTTTCTTCAGGAAATAAATAGGCATGCACCAATTTCGGGACCCATGTTGGCCATGAAAGCTAAGTTTTTTATAAGGAAATAACAAAAAACATGATTTTGTGGCCAGCAAAGGATTAAGATTTTTGCAAAAGGTGAACGATTTAAATCTTGACCCGTCACAGGTATACAATGCAGACGAATCAGGGCTTTCGTTTCTTGTAACGAAAAATCCGTACCTGGACGAAAAGTGAGTAAAGAGCGTGTAACCATACTACCATGTGCTAACGCTGCGGGCACACACGCGCTTAAGATGATGGTCATTGAGAAATCTAATAAACCACGGGCATTCAAAAACATTGATTTACCTGTACACTATTACGGACAAAAAAAGTGCATGGATGACAAAAGACCTTTTCAAAAAATGGTTTGATGAATGCTTCGTACCTGAAGTTAGAAAATGGTTAAAAGATCATAATTTTCCTCAAAAAGAATTGTTGCTTCTTGATAACGCTCCCGGTCATCCGTCTGAAGAAGAACTAACAACTGAGGATAAATGCATCACTGCGATGTTTCTTTCGCCAAATTGCACTGCACTGATTCAAACAATGGACCAGAATATCATTCAGTTTGTCAAGCAAGACTATAAGAAAAACCTACTTCTGAGAGCCGTATCAAAAGACCAACCAATAGAAAAAACTTTAAAAGAATTTAATATGATCTGGTTTTTGCTCTTTGTCAGTCGTGGAATGCGTTACCGTCATCAACTATTAAATCGTCTTGGAAAAAGTTATGGCCAGATATAGTCATCACTCCTAGCAACGTTCCACAAATCAGTGTTACTTCGGAAGTTATAGAACAAGTCGCTACTGAAACACAGATAAGTCCAGAAGATTTGGAAATTTGGTGCCATAGAATGGATAAAGAGGAAAATGTTTTTCATGAAATGTCTGACGAAGAGATTATAAAAGAGGTTTCTAATTATACAACAAACAGTCAGGAAAATAACGACGACGTGATTGCAACTGCTCCACAAGTCACACCACAAGACGCAATTAACGCCTTTGAGCTAGGTTTACAATGGGCTGAAGAGAATGGTACATCCTACAACGAACTTTTACTTTTGAGAAGACTGAGAGACAAAGCTCTGATCTCGCGTTATAACAACCTTAAAGAAAAAAAAAACTGATGAATATTTCCAAGCTTCATAATTTGATAAATTCATTAATGATTTTGATTAATAATTCTTGATTATTTTGGTACATATGTATGTGCATTTATGCTTAATTTTATAATAAAACGTAAGCTCTCTATTGTTATTTAATTTACTAAATTCGACATACATAAACTATGTATGATTTGTACTTCAAAGTACATACACATACATAACATATATAATCTTACCATTGGATATGTAATTTGTCGGATTACAAGGTACTCTTTTGTAAAAAATTCCGGACTATAGGGGGTCTTAGGCAGTGCTCTATAATCCGACAAATTCGATAGTCCGACACTGCCCCGCATAATGTTTGTCGGATTACCGGATTTCCACTGTATATGGTTTACATATTAAAAAGTTTGAAGTCTTTGCTAGTTGAGCAAGCAATTTGTCTACATGATTAGTAAAATCTAATTTATGATCGATGGTCATTCCCAAAAATTTGATGGTGTGTTTTGTGTGTCAATCCATTATTTAGATTTATAAAACCACGGGAGCATTTAAATGTCATAAATTTTGTCTTATCAGCATTGTAAGTCAAGTAACTGTTGTCACACCATTTTTTGATTGATTGAATATCATTACCAATTTTTGTCTTATTGCATGTAATCTCTGTCTTGCCAAAGTATTGTGATATAGTCAGTAAAAACTACAAATTTACCATTCATGTCAAGTTTATTAAATCATTGATATACACATGTGTTGATAATTTTACGATTTGGGATCGATTATTTAAATACGTTTTAAACCAAAAATGTTATAGGATGAAACAAGATTCAATAGCACATTAGCAATATTTCTAGGACAAGATATTGGAAAATTATAGGAAAATGTCCTAAAAACTTAAAATGCGAGCGTTGATATACTTACGAAATTCTAGGAGTACAAGTACCAGCATTTATAAAACTAAATAGTTGTACTTACCGTGTAGTCAAGCATATACTTGGCAAGGATTGTCAACCGTTGCTTCAAAGGTAACTTTGGCGGTCTTCCTCTAGGAGCCTTCTGCTCAGGACTACCTGGAGTCTTAGGTTTAGGTCCAGGTTTCCGTCTCACTACTTCTGGGGTTGCACCGCTCACCAACTCCTGTAAAAAATATATTTTCTCTTAAATGTTCGCTATTTTAAGAAACAATTTTTCAGCATTCCAGTGAAAGTCAGACTATAACATTAATTAATGTGTTCTACCTGAAGACAGCCAATCTAATACTGTATTTTCCGGCCAAAAAAATATCTTGAGATGAAATGAGATGTCCATGAGACTATGTCACAGATGTGTTTCTCCTCTCCGTGCTAATTACAAATCTACTTTGAAAATAGTTGGCATGGTATATGATATTTGCTATTATAGTTGGCTACATTGCCAGCTATGAGACGCTAAACTTTTCAAAGTAGATTTCTAATTAGTGAGGAGAAGAGAAACATAGCTGAGACAAACTCATAGATGACACTACGGTATATAGTAGTAATACTGTTTATTTCAATAATATATATACAGTAGCGGACAAAAGTTTGGAAACAGCCTTAGTAATTTTTAAAAAGTGCGCTAATTTTTTATTCTTGATTATTAAAGACTATTTTTTTCTCATATAGTTTATTAGGTAAGGATACAAATGACAATTTGTGTTTGCTATGGTACTATAGGCTAGCATTAAAATACCTTCATATTATTTTATGACGAAAAGTATGGAAACGTATTTTTTATTACAAAATTAAATACAATAACTCTGCAAAAAGATAAAAATACTGTTTAACTCACATTTGGTAGCATCGCCTTTAGCATTCAACACTACCTGACATCAGCTGCTCATAGAAGACATCCATTTTTTGCAGATGTCTGTTGGGATATTTTACCAAATATTTTTTACATAATCAAATAAATCGTTTCTATTTTTTCAAGTTTTTCTTGACAGTTGTCTTTTAACATACTCCCCGAGATGTTCAATAGGGTTTAGGTCCGGGGATTGAGAAGGCAATGTTAGGACATTAACATTTTTTAATCTTAACCGAATTTTGAGGTGCCGTCAGATCCAAACAACTTAAATTCGCTTTCATCGCTCTAGCAAATTCAAGCTATCCAAAACATAATCAGTCTTCCGCACCTGGGCCGTGTTACTGTTGATCCGTTATCTTGATATTTACTAATAATTTTCGAAATCGTCCCTTTGTTCATTTTTAATCTTTGGGAAATGTCAACATTTCTGACACCACTTCTAAATAATTCAATTACTTTGTCTCTTAAAACTTTTGAATATTCTTTTACTTTTGCCATTCTCACTGATGTTAATATTTACCGCACGCAATATCAGAGTATCGCCGTACGAATAAATACTGCAAACCTGAAATGTTTCCATACTTTTGTCGTTACAAAAACTGTGGTATTTAAAAAAACGCTAGTTTTTATTTTCAGAGAATTTGAATATTGATATGATAAACCTTGTATTAATACGGGAGCCAAAGGTAGACTTTAATATTTATATTATCTGTTCCTTCACAATTTTGATTTAGGTATATGAAATAATTCATAATAATGTTAATATTTGTTTCCAAACTTTGGTCCGCTACTGTACATTCACAAAATTAAACTTGTGAGCACACTTAACTAGAAAGTTTGTGCGTGCCCACATTCAATAGAATTATATAATCGATTTAAGATATAACTTAATAAATTATAAATAGTACAAAGTGTGAGAGCTGAAATTGGGTAAATTTTCGCTACAGCTATATTTAGACATGTACAGCTGTCTGTATAGTAGAATTATAGAAGAATTTATCTACTTGGCAATATGCATCGTTTTTCAAACATACGGAATATAAATCCCGTTTGGTTTCTTTGGAAACACTATCTACAAAAATACAATTAAGTCATGCATGCATACCAAAAAACTGATACGTCCATTAAACACCGAATATTCTGTCCCACAATAATCTACTACAGCTCAGAATACCAAATCTAGTACAAATCATTATCCAGTCTCAAAAAATGTCTAACCACACCATACGTTATGGCGCTTCTAAACGGGCAAAATAGGGTGGTCAGCAATATAAGGCAATATTTTTACAGATATTTTCATAGATACGTGATTATTTAATGTTAAGCAGCCACTCTTGCTTAATTTTGGAGATGAAAAATTCGAAAAATGTTTCTGTCTACACCAAAACTGCTCAACTTTTTTTAACAATTGGGTCAAACGGGAGATTCAGACATTTTCAGCGAGCCACTGGCGATTTCTATTTTAGATGCTCTTCGAACTTGTGCGATAAAAAATCCAACTATTATTATTATATAGATATAGCTGATATATATCTATATATATACAGGGTTTGTCCGGAAAGAAATAGGACTCATTTTCTTCCGCCATGACTGTACTTCGGAGCGTGCGCGCATCGACTGGATTCGGTAGAGGGCGTTACTAGCTAACGAATGTCAGTTGTCTCCGAGCACTTGGAGAGTCAGGACAGGCATTTCCGCGCGACGTGTTTCTGTGAGTGGTGCAAGCCGAAAAGGCAGCGTTCGTTAGAGCAGAGGTACGCGATTAAATTCTGTGTGAAACTCGGTAAATCTGCGACAGAGCCGTTTGATATGATCAAACAGGCTTACCCAGGTGTTGCTTTAGCAAGAAGTGGTGTGTTTCGGTGGCACCAGGCCTTTTTGGAGGGCCGGGAAGAGGTCGCTGGTGAAGACCTTCGACTTCGACAAACACCGATAATGTGACTCGTGTGCGCAAAGTTTTGAACTCAGACCGTCGACTAAGTATTCGTTTAATTGCCCAGATGTTAAATTTACCAAAATCTGTGGTTCATGACATTGCGACACAGCATTTGAACATGCGCAAGGTGTGCGCGAAGATGGTCCCAAAAGTGCTCACTGACGACCAGAAATTGCGGTGAGTGGAAGTGTGCCAAGAAAATTTGAACATGTGTGAAAGTGACCCCCAATTTTTGAATAACGTAATCACAGGTGACGAGTCGTGGATCTTTGAGTATGATCCCGAGACAAAGAGGCAATCTTCCGAGTGGCACACGACGGCGTCTCCTCGCCCAAAAAAGGGAAGAATGAGCAAATCCAAAGTGAAAACGATGCTCATTGTCTTTTTTGACATCAAAGGCATCGTCCACCATGAATTTGTTCCTCCTGGACAAAACGCCAACGGCAAGTTTTACGTGGCAGTGCTCAGGAGACTCAAACGAAGGGTCAGTCGGGTCCGACAAGACATCGCAGCCGACTGGAAGTTGCACCACGACAACGCTCCGGCTCACACCGCCTTTCTTGTGAACAGCTACCTGACCAAGGCCGGCATCCCAACGCTTCCGCAGCCGACCTACAGCCCAGATGTGGCCCTCCCGAACTTTTTTTTGTTTCCTCGTCTGAAAAGGCCGATGAAAGGCAACCATTTTGAGACGACAGAGGGGATCCAAGCAGCATGAATCGACGCAGAAGGAGCCTATTTTGAAAGTTTTTAAAGAATTGTAACGATTAGCTGAATAATTTTTTTTAAATCGACTCAGTCCTATTACTTTCCGGACAAACCCTGTATATAGCCCATATGGTCATGGTGACTGTGCTATAGTTGCCATAGTAATTGCCAAATATTGCTCATTTAGAAGCTCCATTAAAATCAACTCACTCAAGATAGTAAAGTAGCCGTTTTTAAACTGTTCGTATATTTACCTACACTTCCTTAGCGTCAACTAATTTTCTTTTACTACTAGTTACACTGCTCAAAACAGCAATTTTCATACGAAGAATCCAATGTGAGTCCAATATTTAATGAATTTTGTATCATCCAGCGCAAGAACAAACCTTCTTAAAACGTGATATTAATTTTCTATCGAGAATTTTCTGTTTAAAGGTATGCACTATCAGAATATTAATAATTCAACATATAAAGTTCTTTATATGTAGATGTTTTTTGAGCAGGTAATGTATACAAAATTGAAGATTCCTTATCCATGCTTGCATTTACCAACTAAAAAAAGATACCATGTCAATGAAAATGCAAGCAGTGCAGTCCTTGGTAGCTGGCTAGTGAGTTTGTGTCGCGCACGCATACCTTTCTGTTTTTGTTAGTGACTTTTTCCGTTACCTGATCAATGTCAAGTAGTTCTTGAACCTTCATCTGCATCAGCTTCTGCAATTTGACCGCGTCCTGAAACAAAACAGAATCAAAATTATCTTCTATCGTCAGGTATATTAGACATTAGGATAAGGGAAAATGTTCCAGAGACTAAGTTCACTAGGGTGACCACTTTAAATTTCAAAGAAAACTCTCTGACAAATCCCAGACATTACCCATTACCTGGCTTTTCCAAAATTTGTTTGACAAGAATTAAAATGTCTTCCGAGGCATATATTTTTCGTGATTTTCTAGAAAGCAGTATTTTTGCTGCTGTGGCAGTCTTTTCCGAATATATTTTTCTGTTGTTTTTAAAATGTACCTTATATAACTTCGAAGATGGTATGTTGTATTTTTTGGCATTCTCGAACATGATAGTTAGGTCTCCTGCAACCTCACTCAAATTGCCGTATCCTTTATTCATCAGTTTCCTCTTGATCTGGCCTAGAGACATGGGGTTCTTTATTTCCTTGTAATAGTCCGGATACGTCTTCCTTGACGGCAGCTTCCAAAACGGAACCGATAGAGGTACCTGGAAACATATTTACAATCTCTAAAATTATGTTTAATGGGAATTCCGTAAAAAAACAGCCGCTTTTCATACAGTTTTTACAAAAATACGAGGTCTTTAAATTAAATAATGAGGCTGGCTGGTTGTGATTTTTTTTGTGTAATAGTTTTTTTTATTGTGTTCTAAAAATGATTGACATCAATTACTCTCTTCAGCAGACCTACGGAGGTACTATTTTGTCAAGAGTCCAGGTTTTTCGGTGGTTTAAGGCATTTTCAGAAAGTAGTGAGTCGATTGAAAATGAACCCCCGCAGCAGAAGGCCTCCATCTTCAAGAAGTATTAGCATGGAAAGAGGAATGTTCCCGACCCAATTAAAAAAGGCAATAATAAAACCTGTATTTAAATCTGGAGATAAACAGAAACCTTGTAATTATCACCCAATTTCTGTATTAACAAACTTCAAAAATTTCGAAAAAATTCTTTAAAAACGATTTTCAGATTTTATTGCAAAATACAACCTCGTATCTGAGCAAAATCAAGTCAAGATGCACTTATTCAGTTAACAACCAAAATTTACAAGTACGTTGATAATAAATCAACAGCATGCCTTTTTGTAGACCTAACCAAAGCATTCGATAGCATTACACATCAAAAATTATTGAGAACCTTGCAAAATTTAGGATTTCGTGGAGTCACTTATCAACTCACGAAATGTTATTTGGAAAACTGGACACAATGTGTGAACATGAACAGTACACTGAGTGAAAATATGATTGTTAGATGCGGAATTCCACAAGGAACCGTATTAGGACCAATGCTGTTTAATTTATATATTAATGACCTTTTTGAATTGAAAAACGATGGAGAAATTATTGGTTTCGCAGACGATACGGCAATTATTTACTCAGACAAAGACTGGTCTTCTTCAAAAAACAAAATTGTATTAGATTTTCAAAAGGTTACAAATTTTTTCATGGAAAGGATTTTAACAGTCAATTTCAACAAAACATACTTTATTACATTTTCTTGCGACAACAGATCTTCCCCAAATTTTAATCAACTCCAAATTAAATTCATAGATAACCATCTAAGATGGAATAAACATATTGAAAATTTAGTAAGAAAATTAAGATACCTTATTCTGAAAGTTAAATATTTCAGCAGTTTTTTAAGCGAAAAACATCTACACATGATATATCATGCCCTTGTTCAATCATCACTATCTTACGGAATCTTAGCATGGGGGGAATCATGAATAATTATTATAATTAAGATTGAAATTACGCAGAAGTGGATTTTGAAAGTTATGTTGAACAAAAGAAATGTTATCCCTCAAAAAATCTTTACAATGAATCTCTATCTCTATCATTCTATTTTCTATGCTCAAAATTTTATAATGTTATTCCTGCATACCTTAAACAAATAAAATGTAAAAAACGTTAAAAAATTGAATTAAAATCATGGATCCTAAATCAACCAAGGCTACAAATCCATAAGTTTGATGACACAAAAAACCTGTATGTTATTTGATCATAAAATGATGCAAATTTATACATTTGACTAGTATCCTTACAGAAAATTTGTTGTATTAATATAACTCAACTTCGGTTAAAACCCAACCACAAGTGTACACTTTTTTTGGGTATATTATGTTTATTGGACATTGACATTGAAAACTTTGTAATTGGACCAATAAACATTATTATTATTATTTTTCTTTGTCCTTTTTACTTTGCAACAGACCGTGTATATGGGGTGCTGGCGAGCCTTAATAAAACAACAGAATTTTGGCAATCACAAATATCGCATACGAAAGCGATGTCAACTTTTTTGACATTTCATGCTATGTTGATACATCCTTACAAGTTTCAGGTACGTTGAAAAAATCATAATGCTGAAAACGCGACATTCTAAATAAATTCATAGCTCTGAACGACATACACCTTAGGAAAAACCATTGTTATACATGGGAAATCATTTCTTGGCAACAGCGCATCGGCTCGTCTACTTTCATCGCTATTCGTACATATTTCCTACCGTTAACCGCAGACCTGTATCACGAATGAGAATAATAGGCAGATACGCTGTGTTGCCAATTTGAGTAGAGCTGCCCGAATTGTGGGGAATTTAGAGTTAAGTGTTGATTCATTCAATTTTAATCAGCATGGCCTAGACGTTAGAACTTCATAAAGATAACATTGAAGCTGAATGCTGCTGGAGTATAGTGTTTCGAATATTCAAAGCGGAGCGGGACACTATACTCGTTCAATGGGTTATCAAGCCACAGTCTTTTCAACAAAGAAATTATTTTACGAAAATGCGTTATATTTTTACGATTTTGTCGTCACCAAACCTCTGTTTCTCAAAATGTACGTCTATTGTAGAATTTTCAGCAAACTAAGCAAGAAACGTGATCTAGTATTTACTCAACATTACGGATTTCTCGAAATACATTAAAAAATGTGACCTAGATACCTAACTGCCCCAAGCTCTTTAAATATAACACCTTAAACCGGGGTTACCAGGTGATCAGTCACGTTGATTGTCATGTTGTACTGCGCAAGTCAGCAAACAATCTGGCGTAATAAACGTTAGGAATCATCAGGTATTGCCAGATTCCCGAATACCGGGCACCATAGTACCCATTATAGTTGTCCTTCAAAGTTGTCAAATCGCCCCTATGGCGCAAATTCGCCACACCAAGCAACTGTGCTATAAACAAACCCTGTTTATCACTACTATTTGATAGATATATGGTAGGTGTAGCCCTATCTAGCGGTCCATGATTTCTCTCAATACTGTTGTATCTCTACTGGCAACAAGAATAGGGATTACAAAATCATTTATACAACAATATACAAACATGAAAAATATGATTTGAACCATGAAACATTAATACAATTTTAATAGTTTGAACTTTTTTCATTTTTGGAATACTCTTATGTGGAATCCGCAGCTATTTTTCCCGAAATTTGGGTAGACTTAGATTTCTTAGAAATATGACATACTGGTATCGGCAACTCTGCGAATGGGAGAAACAAATCGCATTTGTTGAGCGCATCCGTCTAAGCGGCAGGCGCAAAGTAAGTTGTGTCCTTGAAAAATTGGTAAAAAAGGTTTATACCATCCCAACAATCTATTAATGTCGTTTTTTTCCTTACTCACCCCATTGCTACCGGTAACAGTCTGCACAGTATCGAATAGCCTCCACTGGGGATCTTCAGCATTCTGTGGAGATGGGGCGAACACCCCCTGTCCGAGATGCTGCAGTTGCGGCGACCGCCCCACCGAAGAAGCAGGTGAAGGTGTTGAAAAAGATGTCGAATTCGTCGTAGGCGGATGAGGAGTGGATAATGATGGTGTGTTGACAGCACCCGATCGACGATTACTAAATAAAATGAAAGAATTAGTTCTTGGTAGGTTACACGAGTTGACGACGGACGAATTCACTTTGAACTATTGGAAAAATTCAGATTATTTCTGTTGGTGATCCGCAAGGTAGTAAACTGGGTCCACTAATATTTATTTTATACATAAATGACTTTTGTGATATTTTAGATTATTGTAAAATTCAGATATTTGCAGATGATAGATCAATATACAGTAATGGACGAAAGTATATAGACAAATTAATATTGTGCTGTATTTCTTTTTTATTAATACGCCACCCTGTATACATAATTCGTTATAGCATAATACTCACTTATACATAAATAAATTCATTAGGCTCCCTTCAATAAAAAATTAATTGAAAAAACTGGAACTATGAAGGACAAAAATATATAGACAAAGCAAAACAATTATAGAAAAAAGAAGCAAAGTTAATTGAATTATAGAAAACCAACCATGTTTGTGTTAATATTTTGTAGCATAACCATTATTATCAATCACCCCCTGGCATCGTCTCGGCATAGATTGTAGAAGTTTCTTGATATAAGATTCATCAATCTGTCTCCACTTTTGCTCTAAAGCGGCAAAAAGGTCATCCTTGTTTGAATAATTTATATCTCGTATTTGCTTATCTAAGTATTCCCATAGATTTTCAATGGGGTTTATATCGGGAGACTATGAAGGCCATTTGAGAACTCTTATTTTTTCATCCAGAAATAATTTCTTTGCGAGATTTGAAGTGTGCTTCGGGTCATTATCTTGCTGGAAGATTGATCTTAAGGGCATATTGTCTTCCATATGGGATAACATGACATGCTTTAGTATGTCTGTGTATACAAACTTATCTATAATGCCATCTGTTCTATGTAAAGGTCTCATCCCAAACCCCGAAAAGCACCCCCAAACCATAACAGACCCGCCTCCATGTTTGACAGTGGGCAAAGTGTACTTGGGGTTCAATCTTTGTCAACTAGGGCGTCTAACGTAATGAACACCATCTGGTCCAAACATATTGAACTTGGATTCGTCACTGAAACATACCCTCTTCCAGTCACAGATCTAATCAATCTAATCAAGATGCAACCGTACAAATTGTAATCGGTCCTTACGGTTTTTCCTCGAGATTAGCGGCTTCTTACTAGGGCGACGTGCAAATAACTTCAAATCATTTAATCTTCTACTTATAGTTTTCGTAGAAACACTGACCCTTTTGTCTCGATTTCGGCTTTTAATTGTCTTGGGCTTTTAAACGGATTTTTGGACGAAATTACTTTTATTAATCTAACTGATCTAGCATTTAGTTTTCTAGGCCGACCACTTCTCTTAGAGGCTTCCAAGATACCTTTTTGTTTATATTTGTTCAATAATGCCCAAACTGCTTTACGTTTCAGCTTCAAATTTTTGGCGATGTCGACTTGACGTTGACCATCTTTGTATAACTCAATGATCTTAGTTTTCACATCGAAAGAAATTTCTGGACCACGCGGCATGGTCTTAAAATCACTCAACTTATTCCACAATACTTGATGAACACAAACTAATCCTCTTCTGACACGAAATTGTACTAAACTAATGTTGAAAATAATTTGTCTACATATTTTTGTCACTCATAAAAAAGTGCTTATATTCAGACTTGTGTTCATTGCAGATAATGTAAAAACAAGGAATTTAGTTTTTCTACTAATAACGCATTTGTTTATGGAGCAATGAAGTATGAATTTGTTTTCTAAAGGTATTTAGGTAAATATTCATATTTGTCTAGATACTTTTGTCCATTACTGTATATGAGAAATAACTGAAAAAAAAGCTCTGTTGCAGATCACTAAATAATGAAAACATAACAAAGAACATTGCAAGTTTTTTGATAATTTGAGATGAAATGATCGTTGATCTTTATTTAACTATAATGTTGGACGATGATATGTTGGGTGGACCTGGCGAGGTGGTCCCAATCGACGTTAGGTATTTTTATATTCAATGACCAGTGCCTTTTGTATTTTTTATGTCACGCGAGCTGCTGGTGCATTTTCCACTATTTAGACACATACTGTTCAAAATTTCATCTAGTTTTCGGTAAATATTGCGACAACTTTTCATAAAACAAGCCATTTACAATAAATTAAGACTTATTTTGCAAATAACCTCATTTCTAATTACGTATTTCTCCCAAAAAAAGTACAACTTGGCAGCAATGGACATCATTTATCTTATCTGTCAAGAAAAGAGCGTTATAAAATGGCCATTGAGAATTGTTTGTACTTTCAAATATTTCTTATAAACGCAAAATCTTTGATCTCATTGAAAATACGCGAAAAAAATGGTTAAGGAGACATTGAAAAATCACAAAACACCTCTACACAGTTTACCAAGTAAATACCATCATTTACGTATGTATTTTGATCTGTTATTTAAGCTAATAAGCTAATGTGTAATAACACGTCTGGTTTTGAACCTTTTTTTCCCAAAAAACGACGATTTTTTACAGTTTCACATCTATTTTCCTTAGTACTATACAGTGTATGTTATATTCTTATAATTTAGAGCATCCTTTTGTACAAAAAGCAAAAAATACAGCATATAAAACAGTATTCTATTCTAGAGTATTACCATCAAAAATGCAACTCCGAAGTTCTATAAAAAATCAAGCAGAGGGTTCCTTAAAGAAAAAATGATATTTTCGTAAAAGTTACATCCTAATCTTCCATTTTAAAGTAAGAAATGAAGTATTTGCGATATGCGCTAAAGTATAGTCTTACCGAAAATTAAAGTAACATTTCATGGAAGTTAAATTTTTTATAGATGCAGGTTTTGTTTATTGAATATTTGTATATTATGTATTTGTTGTAGTTTTCATGCTAAATAAACCTTAAACAAACAAACTAAATTTGACGTTTTGTCGGTTACTAGTAATTTGAAAAGAAATACCTGTGAGTGTTAACAGGCGTTGACGGTGTATCCTCAGCGGTAACAGGCGTACTTCCTCTAGTAGACTTCGTAGCCGGCGACGTGGGCGTCCGTCTACCGGGGGTGGTTTGCGACAATCCCGCAGGCCGTGATCTGCTGCTTCTACCGCTGCTTGGCGCCGGAGTGGTCTTGTTGCCTGACGGCGAAAGGCCGAGCATTTTCTGATGGTGCGGTAAGAGGGGCTGGCCGATTATCGGGCCTGTCGGGTCGATCTCGAGACGTTTTATCTGGACGAACTGAAACAAGACAAAAATGAGATTCAATTGGATTGATTTATCACGTCCGAAAATGATCAATGCTGTTAGGGCTGAACAAAAATCATATTTTAAGTATTCGTTTAACAGCTGTTGAGGGAATTCAAAGGCTATCTGGAAGAAATTGAAAAGCCTAGATATTATATGGAAATAAAACAACACGGTAGGTAGTTTTAAATGACTTTATTGTTTAATGAAAACTTGCGCTAATGTAAACACAAACTTCGTTCTATAGGATCAAACGGAACGCGCGATAACGTAAACAATGTGTACGCTCGATAACGTAAACAACTCTCGGCGCACGGAAACAGCGCGACGGTAAAATGCTGAAGCCTCGATGATTTATGTCGGGCGTCGGGGAGTCCCCCATTTATGATGTAGAGTGTAGGGGATTCAACTCTGCGATAAAATACGACAAACTCGGTCAGTCGTATGATCGTTTAGGATACGTTTATACGTACGTATGTATTTCATTTTTGAACTTAAGTGAATACATTGCACGCGTTAATATATTTTACGACTATGGCATCCACATCCTATAAAAGAAAGTGTTTAAAGTTGAGTGAGAAAGTGAAAATCATAGACGAAGTTGCACTAGGTGCGGGAGTGACACAGTTAGCAAAAAAATATGGAGTATCGAAAGCAACAATCTGTAAAATTAGCGTATGAAAACCCAAATTTTACAAAGAACGTGCAATACATTTGGAGGTCCGGGAAAAAGAAAAACTTTAAAAAATGCGAAGGCACCCAAAATGGAAAATTCCCTGTATAAGTGGTTTTTAAAACAACGGGCAAATCATGTCCCAGTTAGTGGCGAAGTACTTAAACAGAGAGCGAGACTGTTAAATGAAAAACTGAAAATTTCGTAGCTAGTGATGGCTGGCTACAACGATTCAAAACAAAATATGGAATTCGACTGCTGTCTATATCTGGTGAAAAATTATCAGCACAACCACAATTAGTGCAACCATTCAAAGAAAAATTGATGAAAACAATTACCGAGCTAGATTTAAGAATGGAACAAATTTACAACGCAGATGAAAGTGGCCTTTATTGGAAAATGTTACCAGAGAAAACCTATGCTGCATCATTTGAAAAATCTGCTCCGGGAAGAAAGCCGGATAAACAACGAATAACGTTTCTAGCCTGCACTAATGCTAATGGTTCACACAAAATAAAGCCACTGGTAACTGGGAAAGCAAAAAATCCGCGCTCATTTAAAAATGTTAATATCCCTGTTGATTATGACTGTTCAAAAACCGCTTGGATGACTAGCAGTATATTCCTGAAATGGTTCCACAGGTGCTTTGTCCCTCAGGTATGACAATCAATTATCACAAATGCTCTATTCATAATTTGAAGATGTGTTTTCAATTTCAATTTCTAGGTAAAAGGTTTCCTAAAACAACAGAACCTTCCAATAAAAGCGTTGTTACTATTGGATAATGCACCAAGTCATCCTCCCGAGCAACAACTGAGGAGCAGGGATGGGTCAATTTCCGTCATGTACATGCCGCCCAACGTAACACCGTTAATTCAACCGATGGACCAGAATATAATAAAAATCACCAAACTATACTACAGGAAGTTTCTACTTTCGTCTGTCTTATCAAAGAATCCTGAAAACCTATCTGAGGCTTTAAGAAAAGTAACATTACGAGAAGCTGTTTTAGATTTACATATGGCCTGGAATGAACTTAACCAGCAAACTATTAAAAAATGTTGGAACAATCTCTTTTGTACCAATAATGAAGATGATGAAGAAGACGATGTCCCCTTAAGCGTAATTAGAGAACGTTTGCGATCCAATAATGATAATGTTATTAGTGTGTTATTGGATGTTGTTGATTTATTGAAAACAGTGAATCCCAATATTGTTTGTACTCCTGCTGATATTAATTTATGGAACGAAGATAAGCAGATGAATGATGCTGATAAGGAGGAGGATATGGACAGTGAGGATGATGAGAACGATCCCATTGAAGTCAGAAGTGTAGTGACTGACGCGCAAGCTATTCAAGTTTTTAACCAAGATTTAGATTGGGCTGAAAGAAAAGAAGTTTCATACACGGATATTTTAGTTCTTCGTAAATTACGGGCGCAGGCATTGGAAGACAATGCTAAGCGCAAATTTACGCAGACAAAAATTGTTAATTATTTTTCTTCTAATTAAAAAAATACTTATCGCTGTTAGAATATTTCTTTATTTTGTTATAAATAGTATGTATTAAGCGTTTCTTTTAATAAATCAAATATTATATAAATCACGTTCGCTAATGTAAACATTTCGATAATGTGAACCACACTTGGATTAAATTAGATTACATTATCGAGCGTCTGCTGTATTCTCCACATCTGCATGCGCTCGAACCAATGTTCGAAGCACTTATTCCACTCGTTTGCTGGCAGACCCAAAACGGCATTTTTGAATGAGTCAACTGCTTCTGGTGACTGGTACCTTTGACCACGCAGTCTGTTTTTAATTTTTTAATTCCATGTTTTCTTCCGTTAAATACTGCCTTGTTTTTTGGGTTGTGTTCGAGCTTGCATTGTCTTGGTGGAGGATGATTTTTCTTTCGGGGTTAATTTTTCGAATCTCGGTGATGACTTTTGACAAACAAATGGTGGTATACCAATCCGCAGTAACAGTTCTTTGCTCATTAAGAGGAATTGTTGCAATATGACCCGCTTTTGACACAAATGTCGCGACCATCTTTTTCGAAACACTTCGAGAACGGATGACTTTTGTTGGCTTTTCTTCACCTTGGAACACTCAAACAGCCGACTGTCGTTTATTTTCTGCTTCATAACAGTAAATCCACGATTCTCAGCACTAACAATGCTCTACACATTTTCTGAGTTTCCGGAATTGAAACGGTCAAGCGTTTTTGACACCAATTAACCCTGGCTGATTTCTGCTCTTCAGTCAACAGGTGGAGTATCCAACGAGAAACTAATGTTCTTACTTCTAGTTCTTCATATATTTTTTTTTTAATTGGGGTATTTGAGATCTTCAAGGACGCCTCAATCTCGCCATATGTCACATGTCTATCTTCAATGATGAGTTTGCGCACAGCATCGACGTTTTCCTGGGTGACTGCCGTTTTTGGTGCACCCACCCTGGTATCGTCGCTAAGACTCACCTGTCCACGTTTGAATTCTCCATAGCAACGGAAAATTGTCGACTGATGAGGCGCTTCGTTGCCGAAAAGTAACTCAGCAAGGCATTCTTGTTGCGATAATTGTCTCTGAAAGTTGTAATAAATTATGGCGCGAAAATGTTCTCGGTTGAGTTCCATTTTTCTAATGACTTGGTGACACTTAAAAATTTACTGTAGTGAGAACACTGCACGTATTGTTGTGAAACTTTGAATTTAAGTTTACTAAAGAGTGAGGTTAAGATTCAGTACTGACGTTCGATCCGCGCGGCCTACTATCTTTCTATATGCAAAACTTAAAAGACATCCCTCGTATATGTTTCCGATACATTTGTTTTAGACTCCAAATGACACCCTGGTCCATTGGTTGCAGAACTGATGTCACATTGGGTAGAAAAATTGTAGGTTGATGTTAAGCGAAACATTTGGATGAGCGGGACAGATATGGACCAAGAGCAAAATTTTACGATTTCTCTTAACAAGTTCAGCATTACAGCCTTTATTTGTAGCATAGGTCCATTTATTGGAAAATTATTAGCACGCTTTTGTTGAAACCATTTAAACAGCATATCATCGACTTGGGGATACCGCGATAGCGGCATTTTTTTCTTTTGACTATTTGATTTCCACTCATTTTTAATTTTCCAAATATTTGACACTAACAAAATAGCTCGCATATAATGGATTAAAATAGTCTGGTATAAGCGAGGGTCTATTTTAAGCGAGTATATAGTATCCGAGGATTTTACATGCAATTATTTATAGGACCTTAAACTGTGTCCATTATATACGGGTTTCCATTATAAGCAAGTTCATTATAGGTGGGTTCCATTGTATACAGTGATCGTAATAATTTTCATTTATTCCTAAAAGAATGGCAAGCAAATGATGATTTTGAGAAATATGATAATTGCAAGAGCCTTAATACAAATACAATCAAGCCATGATGGACAAAAACAAATTGTAACGGTTCACATACCTTCCTAAGCGCCTTAGCCTGCTTATAAATATTACTCCCCGGCTCGTTGAAGAGACACGTATTCTTGCACATCAGCAACAAGTCCCGCTCCATCTCCACCAAGTGATTGTACTTGTTCCCATGAACTTTAGCCAGTATCATCTTCAAATCGATGGGTTGTTCGACGACCTCATAGTACTCTGGATACTCCTTCTTGGAGGGAAGCAACTTGAACGGATGATGAAGCGGTTTGTGATGCTCGTCTTTGGCGGACATCACAGCTGTGTAGAGCTCTTCGAACGGAGTACGTTTTTTGCCGCTCTTTTTGGCGGGGGTGCTAGGTTCTTTCTTGTTTTCTAACGGTTTCTCATCCTGCATATAAAAATCGGTATAACAAATTTAGATCACCTGAAAATGTGTAGATTCTGAAATCAATAAAAGTCACGAGCGATCCATTTTCCATCACAAACTCAGAACCACGATACTTTACGATTTTTTGAGGGTTATATTAGTGTCCCAAGTTCTATTTGCTTGTAACAAAAAGGAAACGAACATGAACATTTTGACCTACAAATTTCATAATACAGAGTTCCCAGATATTCGAGACTTTCCTTTTCAGAAATAGCTACATTTGAAATGACAAAGTTAATGTGCGATAAAACAACGAAAACGCAAGAAAGAAACTGAAATTTACTCAGTATTCATTTGATAAGAAATTTCAAGTACTGGCCTGTCACTTATCCATAAATACTGCTACTACTGTGTCCAAACATACAGCTTTTGCATGAAATAAACAAACCTACGCACTTCGAGATGGAAACATCCAGGACAACGATTTGAATACACTCGCGAAATATCAATAGCATCTTGAAGACGCTAACGGTAAACTGTAAGACTGTGCAAATTTCCATTTTTCAAACTTGATTTGTAATTAGGTTAACCACACCGCGCAGCACTTCGTACCTTTTCACGTTGGACGCTGGGCCGAGCTGGTATTTCAGATTTTTTCTGAACCTAATACCCCTGATATCGCAAGGTTTTGGTACATGTGTTACTAGGAAAATTTGCTTATTTTTGATTAAGCTATATGATCAGTCAAGGACAGTCACACCTTTAAGGACACAATATTATGAGGGTCTGCGCTCTAAATGAAAAGTCGTTTTACCCGTAAATTGAATTCATAGATTCTGAATTCAATGTGAAAATGACGTTAGAATCTGCGAGTGAAATCGTAACGCCCCCTCCTTTGTTCTGCAATTGAGGGTTCAAAATGAGTTGGGTTTATATTCTTGCACAGTTTTAAATGCTGAACCTTCCAGTGCATGAACCAGCTCTGTAATATTTAAATTGTGGAAACTGAAGTGTATAATCGGTTGCCCACACTTTTACACTCTGCATAAACCGACTTGACTGGTTTTTGCACAGTGCTGTCAGTCTAATACAACACAGGTACCCCGAACCTGGAAATAGTTTCCTTCCGTGCGATAGGAGTTTTGGAACCATGGAAATACAAAAAAGAAAGCACGACAAAATATATTTGAGTACTCAAAGATTATTCAAAAATGCAAACAAAAACTTTAAAGTCATCCTTGAAGCGTAGGATATATTTTTAAACTTCAACGCCCATTTGCAACAGTTGTTTGTAAAGGATTCTTCAAGGAAGAACAATAAATTTACTATTTCAAAATATCGAAACAGGCTCTATGAAAAACTAGGTAATGAGATATTTAAAGTAAAACAGTCTGTTTGTATCAGTTTAATATTTTTGAAATCCGAGATAAGAGGATTGTGCTGCCCCAGACTCTAACAAACACTACAAATAAGATATTTAGGGAAATAAGAAAGCTAAAGAAATATAAATTTGACACGTTATGACTGGTTATGGTTCTATCAAGAAATCAGAAAATACTACAGGCCATCTTTTATGTCGGTATGTAAACATGAAAAAACTTTGAAAACGAAAAACTGATTTCTATATATCGGGTATTTTTATTAAATATGGTCCTTTACAATTTATTGGGAGTAGTTTTTGAACACAACATCTATCAAGTGGCCACCTTTATTGGCCAAAACAAAATGTGCCCGTTTTGCTGCGTTTTCCATTACTTTTTCGAGCATCTCTGGTGGTATAGCGGCGATTGCGGTACGAATGTTTCAAATAACCCTACAAGAAAAAGTTCGGTGGGGTCAAATCTGGAGACCTGGGTGGCCAGTCAATGTCACCTCTTTTTGACATCAGACATCCAGGCAATTTTCGTTGCAGAAACTGGATTGTTTCATTTGCAGTGTGGCATGGCGCACCGTCTTGTTTAAACCAGTAACCATCAAGACCTTTTTCCCACATTTGTGGACAGACATAACGAGCCAACATCCACCGATATCGATTTCCATCGACTGTTTCGTTTTCGTTGAAGAAAAATGGCCCAATGAAGGTTTTGGCGCAAACGCCGGCCCAAGCAGTCACTTTCCGGTCATGGAACGGCATTTCGTGGATCTCTGGTGGATTTTGCGTCCCCAAATGCGGCAGTTTTGCTTATTAACCTCGTCGGTCAACACAATTTGCTTCCAAAAATCATGTTCAGCATCAACCATGCGAGCGACTGTTTGGGCGTATTCCAAGCGACGCAACGTGGTTCCACTGATGCCAAAATGCAGAGCGCGGTGACGATACGACACTTTTGGGTTCTGGGCAGTGCTGTCTCTGACCACTTCAACCAATTCATTGGAACTTCTTGGTGGTTGATGAACGGTATGTTGACGATCTCCCACTGTCCCGTACTCACGAAAATTCGAACCAAACGATGGATAGTGTTGTCAGACAGTGCCTGTTTGCCACGATATTTTCGACGATATGCACGTTGCGTTAACACATCTGAACGACGATTTTCAATGTACATTGTGACTATTTCGGCGCGTTGTTTCGGTGTAAAGCGATTCATGACTAACATTGTAGTAAATTGACGTTTCAGAAACACGTATAACCAAATCACTCGGTTGGTAAATATCAAAGTCATTCGATGTTTCAATTCTGACATAACAGATGGCGCACCCGGTATAAGATCTTTTCACCAGATGATAAACTTTCGCATCAAAATTCAGTGAAGATGAATAAATAAAAATATTTTAAGTTTGTATGAAAAGCTGAATTAAACCATGTATATTACTTTATTTCATTCACACACATTACTTTAATTTTATCCCTTAAAAGCCAAGTCCATCAATCTTTGCCACATAGGTCATTTGTTTATTTTTGTAAGTGGTGGGGGCCCTAAGAATAAAATGAGTATTTTGGAGAGAAAAATGAATAGTTTAGACTTTTCATGTCAATATGAATGAAAATTCTCCATCGCCGAGTCGCTGGCAATTGAAAACGAGGATCGCGAGCGCGGGGGTGCTTTACTTATTCAGAAAACGAGAGCTGATGATTGAAAAAGTTAAAAATCAAGAGTATACTTTAGTAGCACTTATGAAGACAAACATCTATGACAATTGGAAAGGGGAGGTGCTACGTCCCACAATACACCAAATATCAATTTTTCAATTCATTGGAATCGTCTATGGATCTGAACATCTAGGCTCATTGTATTGTGAAACATCCCAGAATAATGAGAAATTTAGCATCTCTGAAAAAATGAGTACAAATGAGTAATAGAAAAGGCGAGGAGAAACGAGAGAAAAAAAGACAGTTCCATCAAGCAAGGAGGTACCACCCGGCGGATCTCCAAGGTGGTGCCTGAATCTGCACAAGTCACACGCAAAAGTGTTCCCAAGTCTATGTATCCCCCTGTATCACTCTATGGCTCCACAGTACCCATGAGTATTTAGATCTTAGGCCTGCATGGTGGCCCAAGTATATAAAAAAAGAATAACCTTGTTTTTCACAATAAAAAATGAAGCATACCTCTTCATCCTCGTCTTCATCGTCATCGTGCGTGTCATGATTTTGATGATTTTTCTGATCACTTTTTATAACGCCACTACGACGAGAATTTCTTGTAGCTGGTAGCTGTTGCTGAGATTGCTTGTTATTGGATCCTTTTTTATTTTCCTCCTCTGCACTACGCAACCTTACAAAAAAAAATAGTTGAGCTTTTAATGTAAAATCTAACAATGACTATCAAACGAGTCGTTTTTTTATTATGTATGATGCAATCATGCAAATCTATTGTTGCTAGCGAGATTTTAATAAAGAACTTGCAATATCATCCAAAAAGTGACAATGTTTTTGCTATCTTTCATTTCTTTAAAAAAATGAAGTTCTGATAGTCCAGAATGGTAATTACATAGGAAGTGATTAGTTTGACTCATAGCTAGGCAACATAAATCATTAATTTGTCCAGATGAGTGAATCTAACAGTCTCGGATAGGGAGAAATTACTTGTTGCAAACAACAGTATTTATGATGATGACCCAGTGCTTCTATTTAATTACATTATTTCATTAAACATACTTGTTTTTGGTGGATATGAACAGATCCCACAGCTCAGTCGCATCCTTGTGCTCCTGAGAGGTCCTCTTATAGAAGGACTTTGTGTTATTGACAAGTAACTCAATGTCATTCTGCAACTCCTCTATATTTTCATACTCGTCCGTTCTGAGTTTTTGCTGCACTCTGAGCAGGTCTATTGGGTTGCTGACCACTTCATAGTATCCAGGCTCCTGTCTTCTTTTTGGAATACGAATGAAGGTGTCACAAAGCAACGAACCATCTTTCTTTTTGTGGTTTCTTACTACATCATACAGCTGTTGAATCAACTCCACCTAAAACAGAGTAAATAGAATCAGTTTCTAAATATTTTGTCAAACCACGTGAATAACATTATAGTATCCAAGTTAAAAAAATTTTAAAGATCTGTTTATAGTTTGTATCTGCCATAAACAATGTTTTTGTGGTAATTTGTAATAATATAGGTTGTGGTGAATGGAACAAAAAAATAAGATATCACAACCACTTATTTGCGTGTTATGGAAGATTAGAAATTGACAAAGTAAAATGTTTCCTTCCTTTATGTCAAGCAAAATTCTACCAGTACAAGCCATTTAGTATCATATATTGATGAAAACTTCCACATTGTTAAGAGATTAATATGAATTTATAAAATTGAATGAAAATAATAATAGTTCATACATACACATGAGAAAGTAAATAATGATATTGGGAAAACTGCAAGGGGGAGTTCACCTAGAGGTGTTCTTCGACTTAACCTTGCCTAAAATATATGTAAAAAATAGCCTAACCTAAAACACACATTTAGAGCCAAAACATTTTATTTGTTTGTTGAAGATTTATTTAGCATTAATACTACAATGTCAATTTTGTATAATTATTCGTTTACACTTTTTTTTTCATCTATATTCTGTAATTTTACATTCTTATCTAATAAAATTACATCACCATGCATTTTGAGAATTCATAAGGATTTTTTAGTTTTACCTTAAACATTTATAAATTCGACCACTGTGTAATATCATTATTGAATTTATTAAATTCAAATACTCCCTTTTAAAATACAGATTTGCTAGTTATGCTATTACAATTTTGCAGATGAAAATCTATACTGCCTCTAGTTTTGTAGTTATACAGGGTGACTTCGAAGTTGAGTCATTTATTTTAACAGTGAGTAGATCTGATCAAAAGAAATGTTTTTTTCCTTTACCATTTTTCTGGTAAAATTAAAGTAACAAAGTTATAGCCCTTTGGAAGTTTGAGTACCACCCTGTCTCAATAATAATATTATGTGCTCGTGTTTGGCAACAACGGATATAATCCGCCTTATAGGTTGATCGCATCGGAAACAAAAAAGCGAAAGAATTTGGAATGATGTTTTTACAATTATTTTATTCAGTTGTATACAGTCAGTGTCAGTCGGTAACGCGTGAGTGAATAGTGGTGTCTGTTGCGTGGCTCAAACGAAATCAAAAATGGCACATGTTTACGAAAATGCTGAACTTGTGGACATGATTCTTATTTACGCGGCATCACGGATTTATGCGGATCAGTTTCCCAATCGAGTGCAACCAACCCCTCGTGCCTTTGTTAATGTAGTACAAAGGGCTCGTGAATCAGGTGACTTAAGACCTCACAGGGGATGGCATGCCGGTGCTCCAAGACCGCACGATCAAATACAGGTCCGACTGAAATACTTGTCAGGAGGATACTTTATAAAACAAGGTATCATTTTTTTTTTATTTTTACACACATATTTTGGTTTATCATCCTTCTACAATCATTATCTGAAAATTAATTACTCAACTTCAAAGTCACCCTGTATAACTATTTAATTTTGTGAAGTTTTCTAAATGTTGTGGCAATAAATGACTTTGTAATTTGACAAGAAAATGAGTACTGAATAACACGAAATTTTTCACATTTAACCACTGTAGTCTTCTAACATAGACTTCATCCTAGCATATTTGTTTTTATTTAAAATGATTCTCATAGCTTTATTTTGTAGAATTTGTAATTTTGAAAATATGTTTTCATTTGCTGTAAATAAGATGTTTGAACACTATAAAAAATAGGGAAGAGTTACAGTGTTATACACAATTTTTTTGGAATACATACTAAGCTGATGGGAAACTTTATAGGAGTAATTATCTTTTTTGATATTTTTCAAATAATGTATTCATAATGCTCATGAAACAGTAGTTAGTACTATCCACATACATACCCAGATATTTAAATGATTTGAGTACTTCAATTTTTTCATCATTTTTAAGTATCTATTGCACCTAAATTAGATATTTAAATCATTCTTCCAAATAATAAAGATTATTGATATTTGAGTTGCAGATAAAAGTATGTGCAATAGTTATAAATGTTGCTAATAGTGTGCTATTTGCAAAAAAAAATATTTGAATAGCATATAAATATTTTGAATTCAAAAAGTGTATTTTAAATGTATGCACTTCTTTGCGAATGAATAGTGGCAAAACTTTTCCCTCCAAAGACATATAATTTAGTGCCAATGAGAGTGAACTGAACAGTAGGAAATTCAAAACGGTGATTGTTTTTAAAATGAATTATAATCCAATTAAAAATCAAAATTAAAGTTCCAGTTTTGCTACACCACCTATAAACATTATTTTCCACAAATGCTTTTGGCGAGAAAGAGCAGCTTTAAACAACTGAATGTTAAAAGTACCATAATGGCAGAACTTGGAACTAGAGTCATAGTTCCAATATGGGTACAATAATATCCAAACACGTTCATGCTAATGCAAAATTCAGTATGTTCAACAAAGCATAAAATATGCAATTTGTAATTATGTAGAACTGTTAATCATCAGTAGCTTTAGAGCTACAACATTCTAATCCAAATTTTGTGATCTAGACCAACACTTGTTTCCCAGGTGGACAGGGTGTATAATTACTGAATTTGATGCTTTATACTTCTGTAAAACCATTTAAACCAATAAATAGCAACTCTAGAACTACCACAAATCTGGCGGGAATTCTGTTTCAAACTCATTTGTTTTATGTTATGTTTGTACGAGTGTATATGGAATTTCAACATACTGGATCTTGATGTCTTTTCCTCTTCCTCATAGTAGGACCACTGCTGGTGGAAGCTTCCAAGCTGTCCAACGAGTCATCCTCCTGTCCCTTGCTCGTGATAGAGCTGGTTCTTCGTCGTTTACTCATCGTTCACCTACAATACACGCACTCAATGAGGATCCTGTCTACAATTACCACTTCGAGCGATCCGTTTTGAGGTACCGGATACTTCCATATTCGAATACTGCTGGTGAGATGTTTGTTCGAGCCAAAAACACACAAATACCTGTGCTATTGTAGCTAGCAGTTGGTCTCTACCGATCGTCCGCGAAGAGGTTACCTTCGTAACATTGGTGCAGCTCCTATCACCGTCTTATCGTCGACGCGCTTCAGGTGTTCGACAAGCTGAATTGCAGAGGTCCGGACATTTTATCTCATTATTAATATACAAAAACGAGATATATGTAAATAAGGCGCGACAAACCACTCATCACTCGATATTCGTACAATGGCGGCTAACGATGTTTAGATAAAGACGGATAGATGGGTGGTATAGGAGTTAGAAAAGGATGGAAGATTATGCCAAAAAATGGCACACCATTTTGTGTTTGAAGGGTTGCCGTACCTACAAGAATGGCGATGCCAACAAACGTCAAAATAAAACAAATATAATGCAAACGTATCGATTATTGCGTTATGGAAGATGTTTGTAGAATTTTTGAGCATATTTTGACTAAACAGTATCCAATACTTATTGATTAAAGAAAACATTTAAACCTAAATGTCAATTCCATGGATTTCAATATACATGGAATCCATCACTGTAGAGATGGGTTGTCTGAATCGATTCAGAAACGTATTATTTTTTATTGATAGTTTTAGAAAACTCGCGTCAAAGCTAGACGTGTCGAAATTTACGTTACATCATATTGTTTACATAAACAATGATTTAACACGTTAACGAGCAATATTGTGCACACTCTGTATCCCTATGTGGGCAGTTTCAAGTCATAAGGGTCACATATTTTAAGCATTTAAATGTGGTGTTTACTAGGTTGGGTCATTGGGAAATAAAATACCTAGATCCAGAAGCAAATTTCAAAAATTTAGCGCTGGTCGTTAACGTGTTAAATAATATAGACGAACAATGAACTGAGAATAAAAAATCTATAAAATATGTTCTAACAATTTTATTTACAATTTTTTGAAAATATACATCCACAGCTCTAATATGAACCTTGTTCAACTGTGAAAATTTCTCATTTGGCTATCTCATGTAAAAATGGTGTTTAGTTGATTCTTGTTGCAAGGAGCTGTTGTGAACATACTACCTGAAAAAAATATTCAGTTTATTTTGTTAACTTATAAAAATTAGCTATAAAAGCCTACCTATAAATTGTTTAGAAGACCCATGTTCATTTGCTACTACAGTGCAATCTTTGATTTCAAATATTTGAAAATCCATGCACCTAAATTTTTCGTCAGTTTCATACAATTCTTTTAAAGAAGATGGTGTAAAGTATGGCCTTCCAGAAAAAGGATTTATAAAGTCTGCCCAATACCCAGTCTTTCTCAGTTTGTCACAAATATTCTTTGAGGCAATGAGAAACTAAAATAAATATCTATGAGACATTACAAAATATAAAGAAGCATGGAATTCCTTACAGTTTGAGCTTGTTTTTCAGTTTCCAGCTCCTTGTTACTTCTCATCAGCTTGATGTTTGGCTTTAGACTGATGGTAACAACTGAGAGATCACAACTTTCCTCAAATGTTCTATATGGGAACAGGTCTCCAACTGTTTTACGTAATACTGTAGGGCATGGGTGAACCCTACATATCATGTTCCCTTTACTATTTCCATCACTAGTCTGTAAAAGAAAGGTATTAGAAATTGGAATATTGTATAATAGCGTCTCATTACATCATCAATTTGTTCCATGATTAATTCATGATGGGTCTTGATGGTTGTCTGGGAGTCATACCATGCCAACCCTACATCCCCAGGTAAGAAAAGAGGAAAGCCATTTGCAGCTAGGAGTTCAAAGTTTGGATCCTTCCATACCAAGCTACTGTCATCTGTAAGAAGGATATATTCAAACATCTTGGAATACACGATAAAGTTTGTAATATTGTACCCTAAAATGAAGAGTACCTTTTATGGTTCTACGTGGTTTCACCGTTTTGTAAGGTGTTGTAGTTCCATTGCTGCTCGCTTTCCTAGAGTAAAGTCGAAGTGCCTGGGAAAATGTTCTAGTTTTAGGAAGGTGTTTTAAAAAACACAAAACTCTGCCTGACATTCTAGACACGCTGTGACATTTCTAAAAAATAATACATCTCATTTGAATAATGTCAAAACGACGTCAAGTGAAAGTTATAAATATTGATCATATGGCTTATGATCACGATATTGCCAGAGGTCCTTACAATGTTGCCACTATTCAGTTATAGAATGTAGCGTTGTGATTTTCCCCACGAAAAGAATCGATTACTAAATTGCAGGGGCGTAACTAGCGTAGGGCAAAATAAGGTTATACCCCGCCGAGCCATTATTTCTTCTTAATTTTCAAAAAACTCAACTTGAGCATCTCATCCATCAGTTGTAGAATGCAAGTCGATCTTTCTTTTTTTTCAAATCAACGTTTCAAATACACCGAATCATTACTTATTACGTGGTATGGCCCCATAGAAGGCCCGGGGGCAACCATATTGAAGTTGTTAAATACTCTCAATACGAACAAAATAATCCTGATGGTCTACTGGAAACGTACGTAACGAGAAAATTGTAGACTTTTACATTCTAGCTAGCAGCTTACAATAAAAAATCTTATTTATAATATTTATTGATATTTCAAAACTGATACTAAAAAATATAAGCAAAACAATGCACCAGTGAAGATACGCAAATAATGTGAAATGTAACTCGTCTCGAGTTGAAACCAGTGGATAATCATAAGATTAAGATTGTTAGATAGGGACGGTGTTCAATGTTATAGACCCGTCAAATTAAACTGAAAGCTGTTTTAAATTTCCGGGGACTGAGAACAAACTCCTCATCTCGAAGGCACTTTCAAAAGAAGAATGTTTGATACTATATGATTTGGATCGCTACTTCTGGAGATACCAGTTATTTAGTATGATATGAGATAATTTCAATCGAGACTTATCCCATTCACAAAAGTCCTCGAAGCATATAATAATTATTTATTTTAATTTGCAATTTCCGGGAAACTGCAAATAACTCAAAAATTAGTACATTAACGCAAAAACTTTTATACCATCATAATGAAAAAAGATAACCCAAAAACGTAAAAACATTACAGGTACAATTTGATTTTTTGCGATGGATATTTTTTGTAATATAAAAATATTTTATAGACGATGAATGAAATTAAAAAATAATTATTAAATGACGCAAAATCGTACACCTATTTTTCAGAAAGGCTTGCTACTCTACCTGCAAAAGTGACTGATTTACAAGCTGTCAAAGTTGAGTGTTTTCTGGCACAGATAGAGCGGCTCAAACCTGTATGTATGCTATTATGTATATAAAACTTCTTCTTTTAAGAGGCCTTTCAGAATATTGCCACGAGTGATCACCCTGAAGCGCCTTACACGCGCCATGTAGGTCGATAGATATCCTAAACCGCATCCGCTGATACTGCATAATCTGCAAAGGTGTATGTATTATTCGCCGCCGGTGGGGGTTCTATCGGTTTATAAAAACTGGATGGACCGACCCGTGGGATTATTCCTGCCCTGGGATGACTCAGGGCGAATCTCTCTTCGTGGGACTGGACCTTCCTGGGCCAAAAAGCAAGTTCCTGTTTTATATTATTGTACTTTTATTGCGAGGCGTTTTGTTAATACACTTTGATATTTTATTAAAATATATAGGATGTTTGATTTAAAATAATGCATGTGCTTTTGTGTGCATATTGTTTATAATAACAGAACTAACGACCTATTACTTGTATATGCAGGGTGTAAAGTTAGTAGTAGATCAACGGACGTCAGGTAATAGAGGGATTCAAATCTATGTGTGGTCCGAAATTTTATAGTACAGGCGATATTTGCAATTTTGTGAAATTTCGAAAAACGGGATAATGAATTTTCAATCGCAATTACAACCATTATGCTTAGGGCTGTGATTTTTTTTCAAATCAGCGTAATGAGCTTGGGCATTCAGCTCGGCATTCCAGGTGCGGGTGCGTCCAATCTTCGGTCCGACCGAAATTACTAAGGCCCGTATCGTCAGTCGTCCCTACAATTGTAGGGCGCGTTTATGGCCTCCTTGATTGTCATACTCCTTTCTCTCCTTCAAAAATTTCTAGATTACACTTGTCCCGTGTCAGCGCCAGCGCTCTCCTATTGTGAAGATATGTTTTCTTTTTAAATTGTAGGAAATTCCATGCTGATAAAACATGATATAACTCAAAAGCAAGCACAATTTGATGCAAATAGATGTTTGTGACATAACCTCAAAATAGAGTTCTGACACGGAGAAGTAGAAAACTATGACAATCAAGGAGGCCATAAAGGTGTCCTACAATAATTGTAGGGACGACTGACGATACGGGCCTAAGTTAGGCAATGGTCCAGCGCGGAATTTGTATCTAACGTTAGCATCTGAGTAGAATCATGTCATATTCTCCGCGAGATTATGCAGAAATGCATTACTATTATGGTGCTGCCATAGAAAATGCTCGAGCACCTGCTCGCATGTATCGAGAGAATGTGGTTAGAAGTGGTGGACCACATCCGGCGATATCGAATCTTGGCTGTCAGTTTACTCTAGCTTGACAGTTTCTGAGTCGTTTGGAATTTTTTTTAATATCTTTTTGTACTATTTTAATAATCATTTTCCTTTACATAAAGCATGTAAGGGAAACAGCTCAAAAAGTTGGGTTACACATAACGTAAGAAATTCAAGCAATAATTTGAAAGATTTATATCATACTTCACAAAAAAATCCAAGACTAAAGTCACTGTATAATGATGCTAAAAAGGCACATAAAAAATTGATCAGAGACACAAAAAGATCATTCTACCAAAACAAAATTGTATTGTCTAAAAATACCACCAAAGCATGCTGGCAAGTGGTCAATGCATATAGTTCTACATAAGGATCAAAATGAAAAAGTGTACGACCCTCAGCTGTTGGCAAATATGTTGAATGATTTTTTTAAAAAATGCTCCAGATGATATAATACAAAAAATTAATACCTCAGATAGTTCACCTGATTTCAAATTTAATGTCAAAAATTATTTCAAACTTTACCCTTATACAGATAATGAGCTCAGTAACTTACTTTTGAAAAAATTAAAAAATTCCAAATCTTGCGGTTTTGATGACATTTCCAATTTTCTGGTAAAAGAAGTACTACATCTTATAATAAAACCAATAACACACCTCATAAATATACTAAGTGACATATAAATCCGAACACCCAGTTTAAATGGTTTTATTTTAATAAAATTTTGTATAAGTACTTAATGAAGCATAATAAGTAAATGATAAAAATTTCAAAATGATTGCACTGCTTTAAATCCCTTTGACCTTTAATAATGTGTGGATGCACCCTGATGTGCTACGCATTCTCCAACGCGCCTAGGCATGCTTCTGATCAGGTGGTCAATGTCCTCCTGTGGTATCTCATTCCAGGCAACCACCAACTCCTCTCGAAGTGCTTCTAGAGTCTGAGGAGGACGTTGCAAATTGAGCAATCTCCTACCCATCATATCCCACACGTGCTCAATTGGGGATAAGTCGGGAGATCTTGGTGGCCATGGTAACAATGTGACATCATTATGTTGAAAGAAGTCTATTGTGACTCTTGCAACATGTGGTCGGGCATTATCTTGTTGGAAAGTTGGATCTGCCAGGGTGTCAATATAGGGTAAAAGATGGGGTTCTAGAACTTCGTGGATATAACGCTGCGCGTTCATGTTACTTCTGATGAAGATTAAAGGTGACCTAGAACCATAAGCTATAGCACCCCAAACCATAACCCCAACAGTGTGATGAACATGTCTTTCAACAAAAAACTGTGGATTCCTCCTTTCACCACGTCGCCTTCTAACCCTGCCACGACCATCCTGCATGCCTAAACGAAATCGAGACTCGTCACTAAAGACAATACTGTTCCATTCCTGATCCCAGAGTGACCGTTGTCTGCACCACTCAAGGCGATTACGTCGGTGTTCTCGAGTTAAAGGGAGGACCCAGTGTGGCCGGTATGAAAACAAGCCAAAACTTCTCATTCGTCGGTAAACACTTCGCATGCCAATAGGTCTTCCGTGTTCTGCAAACCATTCATTTGCAATGGACCTGGTAGTGGAGAAACGGCCAATAATCTTAGGCGGCGATCTTCACGGTCTGTTGTTCTACGGCGGCGTTCAGTGCTCCTTGCTCTTTGCGTACGGCCTTCTCGAAGCCATGCCTGACAACACCTAACCACAGTGTCTACACTTCTTTGCACTCTAACTGCAATTGCCCGAAAAGAAAGTACAGCTTTCCGAAGTCCCACTATACGGCCCCTATTAAACTCACTAAGTTGACGAAATCGTACAGGTCTCCGTACTCTAGGCATCGTAACCGATCGTAAAGGATGTCAAGAACCAAAATCCGCCAACGTTGATTCTTTTCTGCGGCTGAAATATTCATTTTTAGAGCGTTAGTGAGTTAAAAAAAAGCAGTATAAAAACCGGAATGTCCAACTGATAAGGCTGAAAATTTTTTCACTTGTTATTTACAATAAGATGGGTGTTCGGATTTATATGTCACTTAGTATATCCCATTTTGCTGCGGAGAGTTCCCAAGTAGGCTGAAACTAGGCAAAGTTATACAAATTCTAAAAAAGGGGAACGAGCTTGATATTACAAACTACAGGGCAATCACTGTGCCGTCTGTACTTTCTAAAGTGTTTGAATATGCCTTTTTGAATAGACTTCTTCTACATCTTAAGAACAATAATATTTTGTCTAAAAACCAGCATGGTTTCACAGATGGTAAGACCACAATGTCAGCCATACATTCCTTTTATGAGAAGCTTATAGAATACATCGACGCGAGCGAGTGCCCTACTGGGGTATTTTGTGATCTCAGTAGGGCATTCGACTGCGTTGATCATAACAAATTCTTGGAGATTGTTGTTAAATATGGTTTGGTCGGTCAGTCTCTTAAATGGGCCAGATCGTTTTTAGTCCAAAGAAAACAATATGTTCCAGTACAATATCTTGATGCAGGAAACAATATGAAAAACTTTGTGTCAAGTACGTTAGACATCTCGATTGGACTCCCCCAGTGCTCTATTCTTGGACCAATCTTTTTCCTCTTATACATTAATCAGTTTGATAATGTTCATCCAGATACCCATTTTACAGCATATGCTGATGACGTTTCTGCCATAATATCAAGTAATTCAAATATAATTTTGGAAAATAAATGTAACAACTTAATTAGGTATATCAATACATGGTTTAACCAGTAATCACTTTACTTGAATCCTTCCAAAACAACGCTTATTCGTTTTCAAATTCATTTCAAAGACTAAAGGACAATTTTATTAGGTGTGGCTTGTGTATAGATAATAATGGTGGCCATGTCGAACATGTTCTTTAAAAGTTAGTTAAATTAAATTATCTTCCACAAGAGCGGCTAAACACAATAGGTTCTGTACTGACACTCCACTTTTTCGTCACTATTCCTTTTAAGCCAATTATTTTTGTAATCATGTGATGAAAAAAGGCCATGTATTATTATTATTACATATAAGGGTTCATTCGATAGGCCCTCTCTATCACCTGACTTCCGTTGATCCACTACTAGCTTTACACCCTGTACATAATTTTTTTTTAAGAAAAGGGTTGAAAATGCAACAGAAGCTGAAGGCCTACTCTTTACACGAATAATGATATAAGTATTTATACGTGATATGAATTTATTTTATGACAGATTGTATGCTGGATACGATTGCACTATTTATCAAATCATGGAAAATTTATTAAATATCGCATTCATTAAAACCAGGTAAGCAGGCGTCTCGTCATCATTATATACAAAGTACAGATCGCCGCGATAGACGGCTGGTTTTTAGAAAGCGTCGGCTTAAAGTCCTAATAGCCAGCAGAGTGCCATACGGTGAAAGCGATAATCGTTGGATGCATAACACGAAACTCTCCACGAAAACATTTGGTTTCAGTTTTGAATTTGTTTATAGTCAAGAAAGAAATTTGTGCAAGGCGAATGCATATGAAGTTTTGAAAGATGACGTCCTCAGACTTGAAACTGATTAAGGAATGGTTGTTAAAGCAGGCCCATCTTCCTCACAATATCGGTAAGATATATGCAGATATTTAATAGCGGTGCTGTACGAAAGTTGTCTTGTTTTTTTTTAAATATGATGTAGAGTCATAGATGCGTATTTTGTAGGAGATTTAAGAATGCTACAATGTTGATAATGCGATAAATCAAAAATATTTTGAGTTAAAACATGGTCGCCCGCCCATATAGCACAATCCAAAGAGGCGTATTGGTGGTCCGAATGTAATTTTCGCGGATGTCTTCAAAACAAAAAAAAAAACATAGGCCACTCGTAGCTTAGAGACTGGTAGGTACTCTATTAGGTATATTTTACTTCTCAAACGGAAGCTAGGGGGACTTGCCCGCTTAATGGGCCCCATGAAATTAAATTAACTAATATTTTAATAGAGCACCCCAAATTGCTTAGCTTCCCAAGTCGTATTGTTCGCAAAAAATGTTTGGTGATTTGGACTAAGACTCATACTATATATTTGATAAATCGGATACGTATACACTTTTAACCCCACGTCTTTTCTACCTGATTTCGTATCCAAAAACTTCCCTTACAAAGTGCACTTAGATTAATCCGGTTCTAGCAACGAAAGGCCCTGGGCCCTGTACAATTTTATAGCATTTTCAGATTTTCGATTAGATAATTTCCTTAATCTTCGCACATCTGTCAACTGGTCAGCTACACAAATTCAGAGTCCGACGTTAACTTGACGCCATATGACTCACCGGTGATCCCACGCGACCTATTTATTTACCCAAAATTCAACCTCATGACACTTTAAGATGTTTTAACCATCATAATAGCTTTCAGTGCCTCAAATTACTTATGTATACAAAGTTTCATTCGTGTGTAACAACGGAAGGTGAAAATGAAACTTTCACCCTGTAAGCTACTACAATATATTTATATATCCGATGGAGTAGTTTTTGACATGTCCTTGTCAACCATCATTCGTATCCAACTTCCAAATTAGTTTCGCTCTCTTGCGGAGACAGAAACTGGAAAATATGCCTGGGACAAACGTGTTCCGTAATACTGGGCGTTCCAATTTAATATCTCCTAAATATTTGACCTTGACCATGACCTTCACTACGCCTTTCATTTCAAGGTTAAACGAATATTTTCAAATGGAACCCCTCCTTTTTGTACCGGAATTAGAAAGAAGATAAAATTCTACGAATATGACCTTGATCATAACGAAAATCATTCAAGGCCATTTCACGCTTAAGTAATTGAAAACGAGTTATTCTTCTTAGCAAAAACGTTCGAAAGCACAATTGTGAAGTTTGTGGAGGTGATCCTAGGTGACCTTGACCTTGATCAGGAACAGGAAAAGCAGGGAATGTTATGTCGGAATGTAAAGTCAAGGTCATGTCAATCTTAAATGTCATTTGTAATTCTTATCCCGAAATTGTAGAAAAAAAAATGATATATTTAAGCACGTGATATTTCGACATAACTTTCAAGGTGATGGTCCGAATCACCTTTGAGTGACCCCACAAGCTCACAAATGTGATGTTGAACATGTTTGGTGAAATAAATTGTTTTGATTTCATCTTGTAATGGCCCTGAAAGTCATGGTGATAGACAAAGTTAAGGTCATACTTGGACGTAAAATTTCCGGCTTTTTCCAATTCCGGTGTAAACCGGCAAAGGTCCATTTGAAAATATTCGTTTGACCGTGAAAGCCGTGGTCAAGGTCATTCATTTTGTTCCTCGAAACCCTACAACTTTTGTTTGATTTTTTTTTCTGGGAAGCATAGCTTTCGAAATATTTGTGAGATTATAATGGCACACCCTACACAAGAAAATTCTTGCGTCTGTGATCTCAACAACGATTCATCTTTTGTTGAACATATATTTAGATTCCAAATCCGGTATCAGTTTGACAATAGAATGAATGGGACCCAAGATAGCTGATTTTTGAGTTGTACGATTAAAACAATTATTGCTTTTTTAACTAAACAGATGACAATCTGCTGAAGAGATTTCTGCAATGCAGCAAAAACAGCATAGAAAAATCAAAGAACCTGATGGAGCTGTTCTATACAGTACGCTCATAAGCACCAGAGATATTCTCAAACAGGGATCCTAAGCAACCTGAACTTCAAATGATATTTGAGAATATGTAAGTACGTATACTCGGGATTAATAATTGCGCCACGTCTTGCCCATATTAGCCAAAATCGTTAAACTAGCCTCATCAACCTGAGGTATCAGTCTATTAATAACCGAAACACACATTAATTTCACAATAATTCTTGCTCAATTTAGTATTCTGAGTGAAGAGAATTAGTCATTAAGCATTATGTTTTCAGCTACTTAAATCTACAAGCGTACTGCGCGGTTGCCACTTGTTCTAATTTTCCTCAAAATTTGGAAGACGTGGCGCAATTATTATTGCTTCTGATTATACAAGGATTGAAAGTACTTTATGCAATGATAGACGAAAACTGATATTACGAGCCCCTTCCCACTTCAGTTGGCCCAACTATTGAAATCTTAGTTTTTTTCTTATCCAACACAAATAATAAAAATGTAGCAGGGTGTTGTAGGTTTAAAATATTAACAATGAATATTTTGATAATATACTCGTATATAGAAGGAAACACCAACTTTATCACTCCCTAATCAAATTTGCAGCATAAAAATAACACATGTAGCAATAACAGCATATCAGCCTATTTTTATTTCAATGCAAAATAAGTCTATAATGCATAGGTGGCTGTGAAAAATAAAAGCCATGACAATTGTTTTTATTAATCACAGCTGCCAGAATACGTTTAAAATAGTTTTGGGTAGCTAAGGTTTTCAAAATGGGTACAGGAAAGGTTATTAGTGAGAAAATTCGGTTACTGATAATTAAATGTTTTAATTTTGGGAAATCAAACTCAGAAATTGCAACTTTGTTAGATTTATCGCGGTACAGTGTGAGAAATATTGTTAGAAGTTACAAAGTAACTGGTTCAGTTAATATTAAGCCACGATATGTGGAAAAAAGTAATATCACAAATGCCGACCGAAGAGTATTAAGAAGAATAATCGTGAAAAACAGGCGTGCCAATTATTTACAATTAAGTGCTCTGTTGAGTGACGCTGTTGGAAGGAGAATTTCGAGGCCCACAACTCATGAAGAGGCCCACAAACTGGGAGTTAGCACTTGCAAGGTAAGTTTTCTTATAAAAAAAGTGAAGTAAAAACCCTAAAGTTGCACAACTTGTTTATAGGCCAAAGAAAAGCCACTATTAACTCCACTGCAAAAGAAAAATCGGCTTAGATGGGCTAAAGAACATAGACAATGGACAAATCAACAATGGTGTGCAATACAAGGCCCGAGTCGAAGTTTGTATTGGTGACAGTCGCAGTAGAGTTATTCGCTAAAAAATGAAGCATTCCATGTTGACTGTCTGAAAAGTGAAATTTCCAGCATCCATTATGTTCTAGGGCAGTATGTCATCAAAAGGAATAGGAAAACTTCATTTTATTGATGGAAATGTGGATACAAACAAATATTTGGCAATTTTAGAAGAATCGCTTTTACCAGTGATGGGAGAATGTTTGACATCCGGCCAAGATTTTGTGTTTCAGCAAGATGGTGAAGCGTGCCATAGTAGTCCTCATTTGTCACCTATTGAAACTTTGTGGCACGAGATGAAAAAGGTTCTATCTACGACAACATCCTGATCGTACAATCACCGAACTGAGACAAAAGCTTCAAGAAATATGGGATTGTTTTACACCAAATTTTTCCCAAAACTTGGTTAACACTATGCCCCAAAGAATTTCAGCCGTAATAAAAAATAAAGGTGATGTTACCCAATGGTAATCTTTCAATTGTTGCTTTGTTAACTTCGCGCATTTATTCGAACATTGTTCAGATGCTCTATTAGTCTAAGTCTAAGTGATTTCAAATATGTATTTTTTACGACTGGAGTGTATATAAAATGTTTTTGAGAAAATAAATTGTTTTAGAAGTAAATAGTTTCGTCATGTTTATTTTATAAAGGCATATTTTGGTACAAATCTTGAAGTGGGCCAACTGAAGTGGAAAGGGGCTCGTAGTGTGTAATGTTCAATTTTATGGGAATCTGACTGGTAAACTGTTCTTTTCAGCGATTTTCTGCCACTGCCTACGTTGACTGAGGATAACTGCAAGGTTTTCTTATACCGGATTTTGACTAGTGACGTGGATAAGTACGACTTTGTGAATGGGGTAAAAGCTTTCTTTATTTTTGCTGATGTACGAATGGTCTCCGAGAATGAAATTCCGGAAGGTGAAATACCAATATTCGATATGAAAAATTTCACACTGAGGCATCTTACAAAAATCGTACTCCCTGTTCTTAAAAAGTATATGATCTATACACAGGTAATTATGAAGAGATATGAGTAAGTTATGATAGTATGGCGCTTTTCTTTACCCTTACATTCTCTGTGAGATCACTGGTTGTGGACGATGATAAATGGATCCTTTCCATTCAAAATCGGTTATCTCCGCCCCAAAAGATCGTACCGAGATTTTAGAAACAGAATATTGAAGCTGAATAAATGATTTATACGATCCATAGTGATATAATAATATATAAAATGATCAATAAAAAGCTCGTGGACTAGAAAGAAGTAAAAAATTTTGCAAAACATTTTTCTTGTGCTATCTGTTAGAAATGCTTCTAAAATTTGTCAGCTAACCTGAAAACTAGAATCTTATAGCTCAAAACGTTTTTTTTAAAGTCTCAATACGATCATTTTTCACCGAAAATTTGTATCTTTCTATTGCTCCCTTATTTTTTTTTGGGTAGTCGGTTTTAGCTATAGACAAACAGAAATTTATAAACGTGAGTCAAATGGAAAAATTCTTTTTTTCCAATCTTATCCATTAGGATTACATGACCAACTCTAAGGGGTTCCATATCCAATCTATAGTAAAACTACCACAACGTTAGAAAGTTGATTCAAATACTATATACATCGTTCATTACAGGAGGCTCATCCAATCAGACTACGTGCTATCCACCTATTAAACACTCCCCCCTTCCTAGACAAATGTATGGCTTTTGTAAGGCCATTTTTGAAAGCAGAAGTAGCAGAAATGCTACACTGTCATTTGCCAGATTCTGAAACCCTGTATCAGTATGTGCCTCGGAAGTGTCTCCCTGTGGAATATGGAGGCGAATCTGGACTTACGTGTGAGGATATTAAGAAGGAATGGATGGATAAGGTAAATTCAAATGAAAAAAATTTCATTATAATATAAAAATTAGATATGCAGAAGTTTGTTTTTATTTTCGAATATCATCGTCATCGTAGAAATTTGCAATTAGTTGCTGTCGACCTTCGATTTTTTATATTTGTTTGAAATGTTTCTTCAATTTGTCATAGCATTTAAAAACTTCCGTATTTCTGACCGACAGACTGTCAAAAACAGTCACCCATAAAACTGGTGTAAGGTAATTTTATGAATGGAATATCCAAGCAAAAATTATATAAGAGACCCATATTTTTGGTTACATAAGTTTCAATTTATTTATGATTTAATGTGTTGTAGGTCATGAAATATAGGGACTATCTCATAGATGAGTCGAGATGGGCTGTGGATGAAAACAAAAGAACAGGAGACAAAAGACAAACAGGCATGGAAGGATCTTTTAGAACGCTTAGTATTGATTGAAAAAATGATCACTTTCACGTTGTTTGTTATTATATGTATACAAAAAATAATTACATAGCAAATGGTGAAAGCTGCAATGACAGTTTTGTATTCAGGGGTTCCTAATTCCATGATAATATTTAAGAATGCGATTTTTGTGTCCATTTTAAGGAGCTTCAAATGAAATTTTCTGCTTATATTGGAGCACAAAAATCGCCCCCTCAAATATTGAGATTCGATTAGGAAACACCCTGTATAGAGCTATGTTCCTAGTCGATTTATAAAGGAGATTCTGCAAAACTATATCAGTGTTTTATATTATAAAAAATTAAAATGAATTTACATAATTTTATAAATAGTAGTTTTAATAAGTGGAATTACGTACCTTGGCATCTAACTCGCCTTTGGTTTTTGTTGGCAATTTCCGATATGAATACCAAAACTAAAAACTCGACCAGCATCAAACTCACTGGTAAAGTTGCGAGACCTCCTGCTCGGACCAGAGCATCTTCGTTGGGCGCCACAAAAGAAAAGACACAACCAGATACAATTAAAACACAATTTGTATTTTCCTCATGAAGCTCACATTAAAAAATCTGAGACAAACGTACATACACATTATCCGATACACTTTTGGTTTCCATAGTACGTAACTTAGATCAAAACACTATTGGAACGTAACATAATAATGACGTAGAGATGTCTAAACGAGACAGCAACGCACGAGCGAACCTGCAACGCCGTAGTTAAAAAAATAAAATTACAAAAACTATAAATAAAATAACAAATAAAAATAAAAATCTATTTGAATAGTCGGCCAAATGTGATCCGGTCGTCAACACGCGTGATACACTCAAAACGCAACGCAGTACTGAAATTAACTGTAATATTAGCGAGGGTAACTATTTAGCAAAAAGTAACTGTGTAAAAGTTTACAAGCGTCTTTTATTCAGGTTTCAATAAAAAGTTGAAATTTCGGTAAATGTTGCTAGGCTGCGGGACGCAAAGCACCAAAAGAAGTACACGGGCGCCCGCAGATGTTTTTCTAAGTCGACTATAAGTCGACGTTATGCCTGAAGCTGCAAATACAAGATTCAAACCAGCTATCTTTAGTCCGGCATATTTTATTTTAGCAGCGCCATCTTTACGATGTGTCTCCCGCCAATAGTCACATACTTAATACTACACATCAGCGCGACTCCCTAAAACTACCAGAATTTTTGGACAAATTGACACACGTCGCTAGAAGCTGTCATGCGCAATTGTGGTGCGTGGCTGACTGACGCTGTGTAATAGCGGAATATGTTATAGGCTGTGTAGTATTAAATATATTGGAATATAGTTACACTGCTGCTATAAAGAAAAAACTATTAAATTTTTAAAATCATTTTCTGTCAGCTTATTATATATTATATTAATATTGATCTATTATTTTTCACCTGCTAATTTCTCTTCGTGTTGACGATCAGTTCACACATAACAGAATAATTATTGTTCACGAATGTGAACGTTACATCCTACCCTTTCAAGTAATGTAATGCAAAGCCTGTATGTTAAGAAGCTATTTTTTGTACCATATATTCACCACAAAACTAAGCAAACTCTTCTTGGACTTTTGTACCAATCATCTATTTTTTTTTAATTCTATTGTAGTGAATATATTATTCCCACATACAGGATGATCCTTGAAGGTTTTCTAGGGTAAGAGTTGTTGTAAGCCGGGGTTTCTGATAAAAAAACATAGGGATTTCCCCTGATTCAAAAAAAAAACTTTGCCTACTTCTGTATATAATTATGATCACAAAATTCCATGCCAATGTTGAAACTTATCCGCAACTGAATTGAGTTTAAACTAATGCTGGTACGAACCTGTATGTTATCAATCGCCGAAGATTAAAAATACGTGTAACTTTCACTTAAAATAATCATTTATGCAAAATGTCCATGCCGGATATAATATACTATTTTGTGGGGATATCACTTCAACACTGACGTATACTATCATCACACGACAAAACTGTGTCAAAATACGTCGCCAATTTGTGCCAAGGTATCTAAATTTTCTTATCTATCTAGGAATATTAATAATCTTAAAAGTGCTGAACTACATTCACTTTAGATTCTTTAATCTTCAAGACATGCTTAATGGGATAGAACCAATTTCAGGCATTATCGAGATCCTTTATATTAGGAATTCAGTTTATTAAAAAAGTAGACTCTAAGATACAACGGATGAATTTCGGCGAAGATAATAGTAAGAAAGTACATATTAGTTTACTAATTTCATATAAAATTCTCATCCAATGATGCAAAGTACGGCAAGTACCGAGTCGATCTACTTGACGCATTTAATTTACACCATATCCTCAGTTCAACTATGTAGTGCTAGTACCTATGAAGCAACTATGTTCTCTAACTTTGACATTGTTGACGACTTTGACAGTTTCATTATGTGGTACATACTCCGACCAGTCATACATTCATTACACAATAATAATAGTAATAATAAGGGTATATAAGTGGGGAAAGGAGCCCTTTGCGGGGTGTGTTTCAGGGTAAGAAGGTTGGTTTGGCGTGGGGGGGCCTTAATTGCACCTCTAGCAGCATCCGGAACCTTGCGATCCCGAGCTACCGCCGGCTCCTGGCAAAGATGGGTTCGTCGGTGAATGCTGGGGGCCTATCTTTATGCCGTTCGCCTGGAAATAACGTAAGATATGAGACATTCTATCCAATCAAATAACTGATTAACGTATTACACGAAGAGATAGAATATCCAATTGAAACACGTGCTTGTTCGACAATACTACTACACAACTACGAGGTCTGTAAATTAAGTGACGAGACTGACAACGTAGCGTTCGATCTGGCAACACTGGAGGCGCCGGCTTGGAGCGGGGATAGGGGAACATATGATCCGCCATCAGTACAAGTTTGAACTCGCTCGAGTCATTGTGATGACCACAACTGTCAAGATCAAGTTAATATTTTGAAATGGAGCCCAATTTTTATACCGCAATTCAAAAGACGAGAAAATTTCACGTATGAAAATGACCTTGACAATGACTTTCAAAGTCAAATCAAGATACTCAAAGCAATATGCTGTAGCAAAAATATTCGATAACGCAGTTTTGAGGTTTATTTGAGTCACTACAGGTGACCTTAGCAGTTAAAATTTTCAAAGTAAACCTTTTATTTTTATACTAGGATTAGAAAAAGCACGAAATATTTCGTCCGAATGTGACTTTGACCTCAAAATCAAAGTCACAGCAAGCTTAAACGTTACTTGTGAAGCAACCCACGGATTTGTATACCAAAATTGCAGAGAGCAGGAAATTTTATATCTAAATATTTCAAATTTTGACATGACCTTGAAATGGCCATGAAGGTTGTGTTCAAGGTCATATTGCGGACTCTTTTTTCAATTCCGGTCTAAAAAGCGGAGGCCCATTTGAGAGTATTCAATTGACCCTGAAATGACCTTAAAGATGGCGGACAAGGTCACGGTCACCACTATTTTTTCCCTCACCAGAATATACAAGTTTTGATTGAAACTTCTTTCTAGGAGGCGTAAGTTATCGAAATATTTACGTAGAGAGATTAAAATGGCTCCCTGTAACTGTCTTCTTTAGGTGTCAGTGTTCCCGCAGGTTAGTGAATTTCTTTTTCAGCCGTTGAGAAATTATGAGAATGCGAAATTTCAGGAATAATTGTGTTAGAGGTTAAGGGGTGATCTTTCCTTAGAATGTTAATGTATATGTTTAAGAATATTTCAATTATACTAAGTGACATATAAATCCGAACACCCAGTTTAAATGGTTTTATTTTAATAAAATTTTGTATAAGTACTTAATGAAGCATAATAAGTAAATGATAAAAATTTCAAAATGATTGCACTGCTTTAAAGCCCTTTGACCTTTAATAATGTGTGGATGCACCCTGATGTGCTACGCATTCTCCAACGCGCCTAGGCATGCTTCTCATCAGGTGGTCAATGTCCTCCTGTGGTATCTCATTCCAGGCAACCACCAACTCCTCTCGAAGTGCTTCTAGAGTCTGAGGAGGACGTTGCAAATTGAGCAATCTCCTACCCATCATATCCCACACGTGCTCAATTGGGGATAAGTCGGGAGATCTTGGTGGCCATGGTAACAATGTGACATCATTATGTTGAAAGAAGTCTATTGTGACTCTTGCAACATGTGGCCGGGCATTATCTTGTTGGAAAGTTGGATCTGCCAGGGTGTCAAGATAGGGTAAAAGATGGGGTTCTAGAACTTCGTGGATATAACGCTGCGCGTTCATTTTACCTCTGATGAAGATTAAAGGTGACCTGGAACCATAAGCTATAGCACCCCAAACCATAACTCCAACAGTGTGATAAACATTTATTTCAACAAAAAACTGTGGATTCCTCCTTTCACCACGTCGCCTTCTAACCCTGGCACGATCATCGTGCATGCCCAAACAAAATCGAGACTCGTCACTAAAGACAACACTGTTCCATTCCTGATCCCAAAGTGACCACTCAAGGCCATTACGTTGGTGTTCTCGAGTTAAAGGTAGGACCCAGTGTGGCCGGTATGATAACATGCCAAAACTTATCATTCGTCGGTAAACACTTCGCATGCCAATAGGTCTTCCGTGTTCTGCAAACCATTCATTTGCAATGGACCTGGTAGTGGAGAAACGGTCCCTTAAGGCCAATAATCTTAGGCGGCGATCTTCACGGTCTGTTGTTCTACGGCGGCATCCAGTGCCCCTTGCTCTTTGCGTACGGCCTTCTCGAAGCCATGCCTGGCAACACCTAACCACAGTGTCTACACTTCTTTGCACTCTAACTGCAATTGCCCGAAAAGAAAGTCCAGCTTCCCGAAGTCCCACTATACGGCCCCTATCAAACTCACTAAGTTGACGAAATCGTACAGGTCTCCGTACTCTAGGCATCGTAACCGATCGTAAAGGATGTCAAGAACCAAAATCCGCCAACGTTGATTCTTTACTGCGGCTGAAATATTCATTTTTAGAGCGTTAGTGAATTAAAAAAAAGCAGTATAAAAACCGGAATGTCCAACTGATAAGGCTGAAAATTTTTTCACTTGTTATTTACAGTAAGATAAATACATTCACCAACTTTTATTAAAATAAAACCATTTAAACTGGGTGTTCGGATTTATATGTCACTTAGTATATATTCCTCTCATGATTTTTCAACAAGTTAAAAGATTCTTTTGGCTCAAAAAAATTTTTTACCTCGTTGTTTATATCGAATACGCCTTCCTGAATCTTCTCATAGATTTCTTTGGCTGTGTTGATGAAGGCTTCTTCCACATTGGCTGCCGTTTTGGCAGATGTTTCCATGAACACCAGGCCATGCTCCCGCGCAAATGCCTCTCCCTCTTCTTTTTTCACCTCACGACGGCTCTCTAGATCACTGAAACAATAGAACATATTGATTTATTTATGACTATTTCCCTCGTCTTAATTTCTGCCAATCACAAACGCGCAATTTTCAATTACAAATGGTTACTGGATGGAAAAATTGTATGACAGCACCCGCGGCAAAACTTGACAGCTGTTGTCACCAAAAATTGCAATACCTTTGATAACAAGTAATTCTGGCCTCATGGGGCAGGAAAAAATAATCTGCTACTCATAAAATAGTCCTGTCAAATACCATTTGGGCATCTAATTTTTTCCTGTGAAAAAAAAAACGAAAAAATACAATGCAAAGTAGTATTTTTTTTTGAAAAAAAATAAAATTAATTGAAAGAAAATTGGGCAAAAATACCTTTTGTTGCCAATGAGCATGATGACCATATTAGAGTTGGAATGCTGCCTGGCATCATCCAGCCAAGTGGTGAGATGATTGAATGTCTCCCTGCGCGTGATGTCGTAGACGAGCAACGCGCCCGCGGCGCCACGGTAGTACGAGCGCGTGATAGACCTGAACGCTTCTTGACCAGCTGTGTCCCAGATCTGCAATTTGATTTGTTTGCTGTCAATGGTGATCATGCGCGCTCCGAATTCCACGCCGATCGTCAGATCATGAACAGGTTGAAAACGCTTGTCCGTAAACTGGAGCAGCAGGCAGGATTTGCCCACACCTGGAACAACAGATACATTTTAGGTAGTCATCCCAGTGGTGTACCTGATAAATTGAAATAAGATAGCACAAACTGCCATCTATTATCAGAATCGACCACTGCGAAAGTGAAAACATAATGTTGACTGTTGGACTGTACCCCAGTTAATAGATGGCATGTTGTGCTGTCTTATTATCATCCTAAAATGAATTTGTAAAAGAAGTGAATGAAGGCATGTTATTATTATTTTGTTAATCATATACATATAAATTTGGGGAGTAGTAGTGTAGTGTATGCAATAAGTGTTGCAATATGCTAAATTCCCTGAAATTTGACTATTTTGTATTTGATATTGGTTTTTCAGATTCAAGTTACTGTTCTGACTATTTCTATACTTTCCTATTGTCAAAAGAAAATTAAATAAGTAAATATTGGAATAAGGTGATCACCAAAATACAAAACATGCCAAATTATTATCTAACTCTTCATGAATTTCTTAACCTTCAGATACCATTTTAGGACATACGTGTTGTCGATATCTTATAGCTTAATGACATAATTCTTGTAAAGTTAACAATTGCAAACCCCTATTATAAATTTTACTAATTTTTCATGTTCCATTACTTGTTGACTGGACATTAGCATTAAAATCGATTTATCCTTATCCTACTTATGCTGCCATAAAGATTCATTGTATTCAGACTTTCATTGATATATGTACTTGTTCATTATATTTCACAACACATTTAATAGTATATGCTTTCTAATCTTCTACACACAATACATTTTATTATATGGTTTGGTCATACCAAGTGTTTCTCTGCAATACAGCATAACTAGATTTTCAATATGATGCTGCATCTCTTCTCCTTAGCAATTAACTTTCTTATAGAGACAATATTGGATTATGCATAGGTGGTAGAGCTTTTAGTTCTGATTCAAAAATGTCTATGTTATAGAATGACATCGTCATTCTTTAAACATGCTTCTCAAAAACTGAAGCATTGATGATTTAATTGGATAAACATGTGATAAGCTGTCATTTTCAAAGGCAACTATGGAAACATTTCTTTTTAAATATATGTGCTTTGACAATGTCAATGTATGATGTATGATAATGTACAGTTTTCAGAAATCAGAATTAAAAACTCTATTCAGCTGTGCAAAAATCATATAAGAAATAAATAAAGTTCATGATTGAGGAGAAGAGACTTCACATTGAAATTCTAATTATGCTATCTTGTAGACAAGAAAAAGTGGCAATGTTGATGTAGTTTTTATTTTGAAATTCCATCTCAAAGTAAAGCCAGGAAAAAAGGATTTTGTGAACATTTCTTTGTTTTCTTTCATCTATCTCTGAAAATACTGGGAATTGAAACACTTAGAAAGCATCATTTCAACATCATAATTGTTACCATTTCCAAGATTCTAATGGTAAGACTCAAATTTGAGAAACCTGGCATAAACAACACATAAAAAATAATGATTAAATTTATTTTCTCAAAAGATTGGCGAACATTTTGGTCGATGTAGGATGTGTTATTCTCTTTCACATATAGAAATAATTAGCTAATTTTGTGCACTATGAATAAGAGACTTCGCAGCACCAAAACAACAGTAGTGAGTATAAATCACATGATAACTTTGTGCAACAATTGCAAAAATACTTGTAATAATGGCAGAGTGGTACCAAAGGCATCTACATCATTAACATATAGGTACGTGCGTTTATGCTGAAGTTTGAGGAAACCTGAAAATAATGATATCTACTACTTTTCTACTTCAATTGAAACACTCAGTATTTGTTAAAAAAGCTTACTCCCTACCAATGTGACTAGGTACATCTTCACGTTTTATTCCTTTGCATTGTAAGCTAGCTTACTACTCTGGATCAGCAGATCCTTTGTGATTCTGAGTACCAAGTAGGTACCCTCTTCGTATTGTTTACTATGAAACTTCTACATGACTCACAGTACTTCAGAAGTCGCTTACCTGTGTCTCCAATTATTATATATTTGAACAAGTACGCGTAAGACATTTTAAAATCACAATTACACTATTTACGTTTCTAGCTTTCGATTATTACAAAAAATCCTAATTGAAACAGCTGTCTAATCAGCGGATGACGTAATCTGTCAAAAGAGTCAATCAACCAAGCAAATCGTCATGTAATCGTCATCAGCATCACATAAAGCTGGACTGCTAGGAAGTTTTCGAGTTAAAAGTATTCCTATCGCCATTTTCGTTCATAGTGCCTCAAATGTATACTGAATCTTCAAATTGAGTCGGCACTTTCATCTCTACAACTGCCACAATAAGACATATGTCACTTGTCAGAATGTAAATGTGAAATGTGGTTCCTGTGTACTGTGTCTTGTGAAAAAAAGTGGTGATTAAGGTGATTGACGATGCTTTCTTATTTCTAGAAACAAATTTGTGGAAATTTTATTTTTGTAACTGACTCCTCATCGATAAATAGGATGGATGCAAAGAACGCAGCTAACGATGAAGGTAGGGAATATACATAGCATATTGAAAACACAGCTTGAACTAAATTTCTTTGCAGAATCTGTGTCCCACAAGCAGACATCCAAGCAAAGCAATATTTTGCCATTATGGGGCAACGAAAGAAGCATGAACTTGAACCCCCTTATTCTCACAAACATTCAGAGCTCGCATTACTTCAAAGGTAGGTAGGTTCATGAAAACACATGATAAATGGATGTTTCTTCTATCACTTGATTCTGATAGGTAATATGTATTTTGAAATATGAGCAACTTGCGACCTTGTGTAGGTTTAAGTAAAGAAGGAGTGAAAAGTTTATAACAAACAAATCTTCCAGTAATGTAATCTGAAGATATATCACTCCACCAAGTATCTGATGCTCGGTACTCAAAACTGAGTGTATACTACTCAGTACTAGGCTTTTTGAAAAAGTATTACTCTGTGCAAGCTTACTTAATATGTATTGTTTTTAACCTTTTTTGAATTCCTGTGTATTTTTGAAAGATAATCATAAACAATTTACTTCTACAGTGAACTTGTACGAGTTAAAAACCTACCATGAAGTGGTAGATGAAATATACTACAAGGTAACTCATATGGAGCCTTGGGAAAAAGGCTCTCGTCGAACCTCAGGACAGACAGGCATGTGTGGTGGGGTAAGAGGAGTCGGTGCGGGGGGCATAGTTTCAACAGCCTATTGTCTCCTATACAAACTATTCACACTGAAATTGACTCGCAAACAGCTGAATGGACTCATAAATCACACTGATTCACCATACATCCGGGCACTGGGATTTATGTATATCAGGTATACATTTCCACCTCCTCAGCTGTTGGATTGGTATGAAGACTATCTAGAGGACGAAGAGGTGCGTACTGGCAACAGGTAGAGTGGTCTACAATTCTTCTTACAGCTTAAAATTCCAAAGGTCACAGACTAGGCATATTTGTACAGAAAATTAAAGAATCTTTCATTTATAAAAAGTTGTCCTAAATTGTAATAATATGGATGTTAAAATATTGTTTTTCCTGCATTTTTACATTTTTTTTGAGATAGAATAAAATGATGTTGATGATGAGATTCTATGTGTACCACATACTTCCTTGATTTGACTTCCTTGTTTTCTACGATGTTAGATTTAGTCAGGCTTTAAATTGTTTTTGCAAGTATGCCGTTATTATAGTCTGTGGTTTGCAAAATAATATAAATTTGTATGTGTAAAATGTTGAGTGTTACAGGAACTAGATGTGAAAGCAGGTGGTGGTCAAGTGATGAAAATTGGGCAGATGCTGAGACAGTGGCTGGTCAAGTTGGAGTGGTTTTCCACTCTTTTTCCTAGGATACCTGTGCCTATCCAGCAGAAGATCCAAAAGCACTTGGAGGTATGCTTAGATTTATCTGATAATCTTTTTATTTTGCACTTTAATTGGCCTGTCCATAAAACATGTTTTGTAGACAGCTATTTTTATTTACACACTCCTGCTTCTTCAATGTTGAAAAATTGTCCCATTAGCATCATCTACTTCTAGCTTACACATTGCTCTTTGTTTTCAGGGTCGTTTTCCACAGAGTGCGGTGCAAGCAGCAACCGCGCCTTCAGGCGGCGGGGCCGACAGAAGATGGGGCGGCGCTGCAGGTGGCGGAGGCGGGGGAGCAGGTAGACCGCCCCCCAGGGAGGATATTCGAAAAAATTTCCTGAGGGACGACGATCGACGGATCGACAGGGGCATGCCACAGCATGATTTCAGGGGCAGGGATGATAGGACTAAAGATAGTGGACGAGACAGAGAGAGAGACAGTAGAGACAGGTAGGTGCTTTGTTTCGTAGTACATATTTTTTTTATAAGCTCTATGTTGTGTGATCTAGTCTTTCAGGTTTCAAAAAGTCTTTTAACAAAGCAATAAGGGCCGTCCTGACATCCTGCAAACTATAAAGAAAATCGTTCAGATTGAATAATTTTTACAGCTATGACCATTTCTTTCATGGTTAGTCGAGTTCTGCTGGTCATTTCGAGTTTTTGCTCACATTTTAGGGGTGTTGCCGCTCCGACTACATTATCTATGCTCGATGCTGATCAAGGGAGGGCAACAAAACATTCTAAGTACAATATTGGCGAAAATCGAAGAGATTTAAGTGTTAATTACTAATGCTTGCAAAAATCTTCAATTTTCTTCTGCTGAAGCAAGCCTACCCGTTTACGAGCGTCTATGTCACGTATTTTTTTAAGGACAGATATTTGATACTGGTCGCTCTCGGCTTGTGTTTCAAACCAATGCAAGGGAATATCTAAGCAAGTGAACGCTTCTGAAGCACCAATTATGTTTTCGTCTTCATTATCTGAACTTGCAGTTGATGAGGTGCTAGCTGTGGTGTCAGTTTTATTAGTCATCAGATTTAATATTTTCTGCAGAATTTGGTACCCATCATCATCATCATCAAAATCCATCCAATGTTCAACTTCTTCATCACATTCGTCACAATTAAGTTTTTTTAGCATATCTATCATTTCAGTAATATCTTCCTGTTTTTCATTTAGATTATCACTTTCAGGATATTCCACTAAACAAAACTTTATTCCACGCTTTTTTCAAGTTCTGCTCTTTTACACTGTTCCATGCTGCTCCTATCATGTAGGACGCGTCTTTCAAATCAATCTTTTTATGATTTCTTATCAGGCTTTCTTCTCCCTCTTCTTCTTTTTCCAAAAGTAACTTACGTAACAATTCTTTTCTATAATACCGTCTAAAAGACTCAATAACGCCTTGATCCATGGGGTGTGATAATGAAGTCACATTAGGTGGAAGAAACATGACTTTTATAAAATCGTCTTTTTCATTTAAGATGTCACATGATGAATGAGTCGGGGCGTTATCTAGAAGCAATAATGTTTTCTCTTTTACCATTTTTTAATTGATGGGCTTTAACAGAGGGTATAAAAGTTTCTATAAACCATTCCATAAAAATTGTGCTATCCATCCAAACACTTTTTTGCGAAGTGTAAACTATAGGCATTGCAGACATATTAACGTGTTTAAAACAACGTGGTTTCTTGCTTTTACCAATGACAAGCATGGGCAATCGGTGGCTGCCAGTAGTATTAGCACAAGCTAAAGCAGTGATACGATCCTTGCTTATTTTAAGTCCAGGTGCTGCTAATTCACGACGTGACACAAGAGTTTTTCTTGGCGAAGCTTTCCAATTGAGCCCAGTTTCATCTGCATTGTAAACGTTTTCGAGGGCGTAATTTTCTTCCTTCAGTAACTCCGCTAGTTTGTTTTTGAATGAATCTGCTGCTGATGAATCATCCGACAGCTTTTCTCCCTGTATTTGCAGCTCACGAATGCCATGTCTCGACTTAAATCTTTTCAACCAGCCTGTGCTTGCTTGAAAATTTGATGACTTTATCGTTGAAGTGCTTTTTAACACAGAATCGGACCAGAAACAGGTTCTCCCTGGGAACTTTTCTGAGTAAACCACTCATATGAGGGATGTCTTTTAAGTTTTGCATATGGAAATAAAACAACACGGTGGGTAGTTTTAAATGATTTTGTTGTTTTTCGAAGTATTCTCCACGAAGATTAATACACATCTGCATGTGCTCGAACCAATTTTCGAAGCACTTATTCCACTCGTTTGTTGGCAGATCCAAAACGGCATTTTTGAATGCGTCAACTGCTTCTTCTGGTGACTGGAACCTTTGACCACGCAGTCTGTTTTTAATTTTCGGAAAAGTAAAGAAATCATTAGGACTTAGATCGGGACTATATGGAGGATGGTCCAATAATTCTACGTTTTCTTCCGTTAAATACTGCATTGTTTTTTGGGCTGTGGGCGAGCTTGCATTGTCTTGGTGGAGGATGATTCTTCTTTCGGGGTTGATTTTTCGAAGCTCGGTGATGACTTTTGGCAAACAAATGGTGGTATACCAATCAGCAGTAACAGTTCTTTGCTCATTAAGAGGAATTGTTGTAATATGATCCGCTTTTGACACAAATGTCGCGACCATCTTTTTCGAAACACTTCGAGAACGGATGACTTTTGTTGGCTTTTCTTCACCTTGGAACACCCAAACAGCCGACTCTTGTTTATTTTCTGGTTCATAACAGTAAATCCACGATTCATCACCACTAACAATGCTGTACACATTTTTTGAGTTTCCGGAATTGAAACGGTCAAGCTTTTTTGACACCATTTAACCCTGGCTGCTTTCTGCTCTTCAGTCAACAGAAACTAATTTTCTTACTCCTAATTCTTCATGTAAAATTTTTTGTATTGAGTTCTTTGAGATCTTCAAGGACGCCTCAATCTCGCGATATGTCACATGTCTATTTTCAATGACGAGTTTGCGCACAGCATCGACGTTTTCCTGGGTGACTGCCGTTTTTGGGTCACTCACCCTGGGATCGTCGCTAAGACTCACCCGTCCACGTTTGAATTCTCCATACCTACGGGAAATTGTCGACGGATGTGGCGCTTCATTGCCGAAAACAGACAGTAACTCAGCAAGGCATTCTTGTTGGAATAATTGTCTCCGAAAGTTGTAATAAATTATGGCGCGAAAATGTTCGCGTTTCCATTTCCAAAGTTCCATTTTTCTAATGACTTGGTGACATTTAAAAATTCACTGCACGTATTGTTGTGAAACTTTGAATTTAAGTTTACTAAAGAGTGAGGTTAAGATTAAGTACTGACATTCGATCTGCGCGGTCTACTATGTTTCTATATGCAAAACTTAAATGACATCCCTCGTATAATTTCCATTTACATATTGTTATACCTTGGCATTGTAGGATTCTAAGACATGTTGGAATAAAAGTCTAGTGCATTTTGAAATCATCACCAAAATCGTTGTGAAATCTATAAATACTTTGCCAATTGATTTCCTAGCACCTCCACTAGTGTATGCAATGGTACAATTGATTCAACTAGCACGGTGGTATTCTCTATCGTCACAGGAACTCAGGACATGTTGAGGTAATCACGGACATCGCCGTAAAATCTAAGAAAAAAAAATGCCAAACTCGTTACTATAATTAAATCTCTATTACAGGAAATACCGAGGCCGTAGCCCAGTCAGAGAAAGGGATAGGAGCCCTTTACGGAGACATGGGAGCCCGCATCATTCCTCTCATCATAGCAGACACAGAGATGGCAGAGACGATTATAGCAGTCGGCATAAGAGGGACTATAGGCATTAATACTCATACCCAAAACGTCCAAACTCGTTTATTTAGTACTTAACTTGAATAAGCATGCAATACTCGGAAACTTTCCATAGATAGCCTAACATAGTGTGCAAGGCATGCATGTTGGATGACATGTCACTGCCTTTCAGACTGTTGTGATTTTCTTTTTCATTGTTGAGAACTTTTTTACAATTACCAGCAAGATTGAGGGGTGTTCTTTTCTTGGGCTGTTGGAGTCATGTTTAAGAATAAGCGATTTTCTTTAAAAGGAAAGTGGAGTCTGACGTATTGTAGCTGCGACTATATGAACGTTTAAAAACAGCATACTGTTCGGCGACTTCTTGCAAAATATGTTAATAAATGCCTGGTATCAACAAACTCGTCGATTTGACGGCAGCTAATGAATTCGAATAAATTAGAGCCTATGTTTACAGTGCATCGTTTCTCGCGAAAATTGCGTATTTTTAGTGCATTCTTTTGACTCATTTGACTGCCATTGCCTACCAAAGTGTTAATGTTGTCTCAACATAATAATGCTTACCGTTGGAAAGATCTACCTTTATTAGTATTGTGTCTTGAACCACAATTATCTGCAAACACTCGTACTTATAAAAAATAACACCAAACAGAATTTAATGACAAATAAATCGTAGGCTTGCTCCTTTTACCTAGTCTACCTAAACATCGTCGGATCTATAATCAATTCAAATATCATTTACGGCTCGCTAGCCAATAGGACCGCTCAAATTTGTACAACGCACGCTGGCGTTTGTTTTTGTTTTTGTGTTTTGGAATACTTAGGGCCGTAAGTAAGTCGTTCCTACAATTGTAGGATGCCTTTATGGCCTTGATTTTCATAGTTTTCTACTGCTCCGCGTCAGCGCTCTATTTTGAGGTTATGTCGCAAATGTCTATTTGCATCAAGTTGTTCTGCTTTTGATTTATTTCATCTGTTTTATCAGCCGTACATTTACTGCAATTCAAAAAGAAAGCATAATGAATGAGGGAAAATTCTATGACAATCAAGGTCATAAAGGCATCCTACAATTGTAGGAACGACTTGTTTTATCAGCCTGAAATTTCGTATAGTTCAAAAAGAAAACATAACCTCACATAAGGAGAGCACTGACACAGAACTATAAAAATAAAAATACCCCAGCCTTTCTGAAGGAGGGAAAATACTATGCAAATCAAGGAGGTCATAAAGTTGTCCTACAATATTGTAGGAACGACTGTCGATACGGGCCTAAGGTTCCAAGGCGATCTATGTGTAGTTTCGAGTTTTGTTTGTTTTCAAGTTTTATGTTTAGTTTCATCAATTTCATTACGTTCTCAATTCACCTACGATTTTTTTATAAACTAATTACGATTTCAGTTTTTATACAAAATGACGTACATACCATAGTGGGGATACAAATCTGTGGCGTTTTCTGTGTATGTAGCTCAAAAAAGTATGGTTGAAGATGTGTTGTCACACTGTAATATGTAAATAGTACATAGATCCATAGAATATGAAAATGTCTGTCAAATGAAGCATCTCAATTAAGAGAGCTTTTTGGTGAAACCAAAAAAATACTTTTATTTTTCTTACTGTACATACTTCGTTGCATATGATTTTTGTTTTGATTGCTTACGTACGTATTATTAGCATTATTTTAAGCCGCATTGAAATTGTGAAAATAGGAAAGATTTTTGTATACAGGAATAAGAAGACACATTTTTATAAAACTGTGTTTTATTACATACACCTATGGCACATGCGTAAAATCAAAGACGATACATTTTTTGCAATGAAAAAAATGTTACGAGATGATTAAGTCCATATTGCCTCTTAATAACAGGAAATTTAAGGTTCATGAAAAATATAATATATAGTCAAAATCACGAATGATGACTATTACGTCATATCATAAATTGTACCGAAGTAATCAATGGACGTACGTCGATGATAGAATCACGACGTCAGGAACATAATGGCAACAAATTTATATTATGATTTTGCGAAGTTAGGTTATTTCACTGATTATTTTTATTTCATGGTTTTGAGTGATACCTTAATAATTTTAGCGGGGAGTTTTTGTTTTGAAAAAAAACAGTTATGAGTAGAATACCTTAAGACAGGAAGACCAAAGTATTATTCGAAAACAACCTAACCTGCTATAACATAACCTAACTATTCATCTTTCAAATGTGATCGATCATCGAAACATCGCCTATCTTTGTCGGATACTTACAAATTAGCAATACAGTTTGTTTAGACAGTAAAATTATGTTTGTCTCTGTCTAACATATCTGAAACTTCATTAAAATTATTCCTACAAATCGCTGTCGTTAGTCTTTGCAACAGATTAAAATGATGACGTAATCGTCATCTTTCGTGATTTCGACTATATATGATAACCCAAACTTTGGCAACGCATATGAAATTGTCGCCTCACTCTAGGGACGTTTTCATCACACGAGTCTGCACCCCTAGATGTTAATCAAAATCTTGTTTACCAACATTTTACCTCAAGTCAAGCGCCATCGGGATGATAGAAAAGATCCAGTGGATCTGAACGTTTTGAAATAGTTGAAGTGCAGTTAGACGAATCAGTTCAGTTTTTCTGTGCATTTAGCTCAAGATGAACAGCTGTTTGCGAAGACCTTCAATATATCAAAGTGTACATTCAGCGTGGGCGGTAAATCCTCAAAATGCACGGTTCTCAGTATAGTAACACCGACGTCTTTGGCAGTTTCTGTGAACGATTTCTCCTCTTTACCTATCCATGGCCGTCGTTCATCTTTGATTTGGTATGGAGACACGTGGACGTGAACTCTGATTTCTGCAAAAACACACAAAAGTATTTGAAACACATTTTGTTAGTAACTACCAGTCAAAAATAATCCAAGAATAAAAAAATATTGGATCTAACCACTCCATATTTCTCTATGTTCTACTGACCTAATGAAGCTACAGATGTACAAATGAAAGTTTACTAACGTTCCTGCCTCGTCGGCGGTCTTTTTTTAAATGTAGTTCAAAATGACAATGAAACGACAAAATGGAGTATCTGAATTCAACAAACTGAATAGTATTAAATTTGAATTAAAAAATGTTTAAAGTGAAAAAAAAATCAATTTATGAATACCCAAAATGCATAGTGATGTAATTTTAATAGACAAGAATGTAAAATTACCAAAAATTGATTTAAAAAATCTGTAAAAGAATAGTTATATGAAATTGACATTGCTGAATAAATCTTCAACAATCAAATCTATTGCTGCAAACATACATACTTAGTATTGCCAATGTAGCCAGTAACGCTTTAGCCGTGATCCAAGTATTTTTGCCTCCATTATGTCCACCATCAAGCCAATACATGTCTTTTATCCTTGACATTGAATCTGGCTTCTCCAGTGCAGACATTGTAACCGAATAGTGATTTAATTCATGTAGAAATTGATTAAGAACCACACACCCTTTGCTAAAACCAATCAATCGCAGGTCAAGATTCTCAAAATTCACGGTTGTTCTTTCATATCCTGCAACTTCTTTATTATCTTTCAAACTAACTTCATTCTCCTAAAAGATATCAAAAATTATTCTTTTTTTACTTCCAACGCTTACTGGCGACAATCGCCTACGACTTGATGTAATTTTTACACAATGCCAAGGACGCAAAAGCGTTGTAGTTTTTGAAAATCGGTCCAGTAGTGGCAGAGAAAAAGTCCAAAAACAAAAAAATTAAAATCGTTCAACTTCGTTCTTTACCAGAAACGCCAAATATAATAACTGATGAAAAGACCGAAATCTCCCAAGAAGATGTGACACAAGGAATAAATAAATTAAAAAATAGAAAGTCACCAGGAGAAGATCATATACCAAATGAACTCTTAAAATATGGAGGTGATTACCTTGTACAACAACTGCAACTCCTTATTCAAAAAGTAGCTGCGATCAAGCTGATGTTCTTCAAGAAAGGAGATAAGAACGACCCCAAGATTTATCAAGCAATAAATCTGTTAAATACAACACTAATATTGACAACAAGAATAATAGCGACAAAAATAAACGAACGAATAACTCTGCAAGAGGAACAGCAAGGATTCCGGGCAGGAAGATCATGCACGGAAGCAGTTTTTGTAATAAGATAAATTAAAGAAAAGTCGCTGGAATACAACAAATCAGTATATATGTGCCTGATAGATTTGAAGAAAGCGTTTGATAGAGTGAGAATTCCGGACGTGATACATTTATTAAATGACAGGGGAATACCACTGGATTTAGAAAAGAATATATATATATATATATATATATACAGGGTGACTTCGAAGTTGAGTCATTTATTTTAACAGTGAGTAGATCTGATCAAAAGAAATGTTTTTTTCCTTTAACATTTTTGTGGTAAAATTAAAGTAACAAAGTTATAGCTCTTTAGAAGTTTGAGTACCGCCCTGTCTCAATAATAATATGTGCTCGTGTTTGGCAACAACGGATATAATCGGAAACAAAAAAGCGAAAGAATTTGAAACGCTTATCACGATGTTTTATTCATTTATTTTATTCAGTTGTATTCATTCGATGTGTCAGTCGGTAACGCGTGAGTGGTGTTTCTGCGTGGCTCAAACGAAATAAAAAATGGCACATGTTTACGAAAATGCTGAACTTGTGGACATGATTCTTATTTTACAAAATGCTGCTACGGCAACACGGATTTATGCGGATCGGTTTCCCAATCGAGTGCAACCAACCCCTAGTGCCTTTGTTAATGTAGTACAAAGGGCTCGTGAATCAGGTGACTTAAGTCCTCACACGGGAGGGTATGTGCTCCAAGACCGCACGATCAAATACAGGTCCGCACTGAAATACTTGTCGGGAGGATATTTTATAAAACAAGGTAACATTTTTTTTTTAATTTTTACACACATATTTTGGTTTATCTTCCTTCTACAATCATTATCTGAAAATTAATGACTCAACTTCAAAGTCACCCTGTATATATATAAAGATAACATAGCCTATGGTAGGATGTAAAGGAAAACTCTCGCAACCTATCAAGTATGAAACTGGCATTAGATAAGGAGATTCGCTGAGCCGAGTAATATTTAATCTGATAAATAATGGATGAAATCATAAAGAAAGTTAAAAAAGAAGAGGATATAGAATGGGAGAAAAGGAAATGCAGATAATATGCTACGCCGACGACGCCATAATAATAGCCGAAAATGAAGATGACCTACAAAGATTAATTAAAGAATTCGAAGATACGGCGCTCATATACAACTTGGTGATTTCAACAGAGAAAACTAAATCGTTAGTGATATCAGCGGAACCGAGACGATGTAAACTGGTCGTAAATAACAAAATAATAGAACAAGTGATGGAAACGGGATACTTGGGAATCAAACTGTCAAGCTATGGAAAAGTGGAAAAAGAAGTACAAAAACAAGTGACCATGGCGAACGGAGCAGCAGGATGTCTCAACAATACAATCTGGAGAAACAAATACCTCACAACGGAAACAAGAGCAGATACGGAGAAAACACAAAGATTGTTGGAAACAGCAGAAATGAAAGTCTTACGAAAAATAACAAACCAAACTCTAAGAGACAGAGTAAGAAGTGAAAAATTCGAGCGAGATGTGGTATAGAGGAAATAAACCTGTGGACCAAAAGAAGAAAAATAGAAGAGAATGGAATCAACACATAGAAAGAATGACAGAAAATAGAACAGTACGAATAGCAAGAGACAAATCGCCAAATGGAAGAAGATCAATGGGACGACCGAGGAAAAGATGGTCAGACAACATCAATTGAGGCTAAAAACCGAAGTAAAACAGGCATGACCCTATTAATAAAGTAGGAAGAACAAGAACTTCGTTTTTTGACGTTTTAGTGGACCCTGATCATTTTCGAAAGAAACAGTGTAGGGGTTAACGATTGGAAGTGGTCCCCTGATGGACAAGCGTCATCGACGGTGGTCGTACGTCACTCTTCCGCACTGCCGTGGAATGTGTACAGACTGTGTATGTTGTTTTGCACACACTGATAATAATTATAGATAGTCTCATTCCTTTTACAGCGGGAATGGGGATCACAAAAAAGTATTGAATGTAATTAACCGATAGTAAAAATTACCTTTGTGGTGTACAGAGAACTTTCTTCCAAATCTACGAGAGCGTTACGGGACAGCTCCTCGGCAGCTTCAATATCGTCATCAGACATAGACTTTAACTGATCACAGATATTGTCTAAAAGTTTTTGTAGATGCATAAGACTGTTGTAGTTTTCAGAGTGTTCTGGCACGCCGCAGGAATTGCATTTTACAAAGTTTTTGTAACAACTAAACGTCTTGAATTCCATACTAGGAATATACGAGAATTAATAAACGTTTTGAATTTTATGAAAAAACGAACACCTACCGAGACGGTTTTACCACAATAATATGACTATCTGGAAAATGCGATCGTAGTAATATTGCAGTGTTTTCCAAATTCCATTTTAAATAGTTTTTGTTATCCCTATGACTTTGCATATTTTCTGTGAAGTCCTACAAGTAAGATACACGTCAATCTTTACCCCTATATAACAGGGTCCGGCACAAAGGACGGATGTTTTTGAAATGGCTAGTACTCTCCGCTCTCCGCCTATTCGGGCGAGAGCGCCGTTCGACTCGGGCGTTCCTAGCAGTAGCGATTACGGACCAGTGGACGACGTTTTCGCGTACGACAGTTTTGACCGACCTAATGAGTCTGTAACGCAGGGGCGGCTGGCACTTAAGTTCTGCAGAACTGCCCAAACTTTTGTCTCAACAGAAAAAAGCAGTACTAATTTGATCATTATTTATTTTCCATGTTATCACACAAATAGAAACAATACCGGCCTGCCCCCGCAAGACACGGCGTCGAGTCCGTTTTGTACTGAGAAAGCATTATAATCGACCAATTGTGTACTTTTCATTTTCGTCGCGAGAAGCATCCCACAAACCGGCGCGAAATATTCGCTTTGGCTGCGAAAATTTCGCGGCGATGAATTCGCGATCAGATTAAAACGCGGCGGTTTACGGACAGGCTCAGACTTGTGCGAAGCGAATGCGATTGTTCCAGCGTTTTTATCGCGGCGTATTTCAGTTCGCCTTTGACCGCGTTTTTGACGCCGTTCTTCAAAAATTCGCAATGGCAAAAACGGAATTATTGATAGAAATAGTGAAAAAGTATCCTTGTTTGTATGATTTGTCGAACGATGAATACAGGAATGTGAGAAAGAAAGACAAGATTTGGATGGAAATAGGAAAAGAATTAAATACAAATGGTATGTACCTAATATTTTTTATTAACTTGTTAAATAATTTACAATCTACACAAATGTGAAAACGAACATTCTATATATTGGGCATAGGCATATCAGAATTAAAATAATTTACGAATTTGTCACGAGTAGAAAATGCTAGCCTTGCTGCCCGCCGAGGATCATTTGCTATATCAGTAAAAGCTCCAAGCACGGGTTCTGGGGGATCTAAGAATTGAAAATCTTTGTCATCGCCACTTTTACTTCGTAAAAAATTGTGTAAAACACATGCCGTACGTACAATTAGAATAGTAGTATCTACTTTAGTTTCTAATGGCCTGTAAAATATTCGCCATTTTTGAGACAAAATACCAAACGCATTTTCCACGACCCTTCTAGCTCGACAAAGTCTTACATTGTATTTCTCTTTTCTGACGTCTGTTAAAGTCTGCTTATAAGGAAATGGTCTCATAAGGTATGATCTTAAAGCAAATGCTTCATCACCAATTAAGACGTACGAGCAGATTTAATTTTGCCCAGGGAGAAATCTAGGTGCAGGGACACTCATTAAATTTTGTTCAAATCGTTTTCCCATGTTTGAGGTTTCGAAAATACCCCCATCACTATTTTTCCGAAACCACCAATATCAACACATGTAAATTTATAGTCCGGGCCAACAATGGCCATAAGTACTATTGAATATTTATGTAAATAGCACCAGTAATTGGAGCCACTGTTGTTAGGTCTCTTGATTGTTACATGTTTACCGTCCACGCTGCCAATGCAATTGGGAAATCCCCATCTATTTTCAAATTCTTCAGCACATTTTTTCCATATATTCTCTGTTGGTTCTGGTAAATATATATGCTCTATATGTCTGCATATCGCTTCACAGACTTCGGTTACGATTGCACTCACTGTTGTAAAGCCAACTCGAAAGCTATGCCCAATGGTATAGAAGGTGTTACCAGTGGCAAGGAATCTATAAAAAAAATCGTTTTTAGGTGATGAAGTAAAAAAAAGGTGGAAGAATATCAGAGACACATTTGCATTTAAAATCTACCAAACCAAAGACCGGCCAAGCAGTGGCAACGTAAAAAAATGGCAGTGGGCTGACTACATGGAATTTTTCCGTCCTTTTTTGGCATTTGCCAAAACGTCGTCTAATGTGAAAGATATTGACGTCATACATTATGAGACTGCCGAATTTAACTCAAATATATATCAGGAAAGGGCTGGAAATGTAGAAACCGAAAATTTGGAAGGCCGCGGCCATGGAGAAGATGAAAATGCTGATGTAAATGCAGAAGATGCACAGAACGCCTCGGCAACACAGACAGCACCACCTTCTTCATTGAACACTACAGCAGTGACTACTCCAGGGCACACCTTTCCGCAGACTGCAACTACACCAAAATATAAAACGCTATGAACCACCATCTTCGTCTGTACAACAGCTCATTAATTATTTTGAAGGTAAAAAACCTAAAAAAGAGAACGAGGCCATTGATTCACTTTTCTTGGCACATGCACAGACTGTGAAAACACTTCACTTAAAGCGTCAAGCCCGAATAAAACTAAAAATAGCCGAATTAATAGCGCACGAAGAATTTGAACATATTGAAGAAATGTCTTCAGCGTCTACCCAGAATTCTGCAAGTATGTATGATAGTAGTATGTCGTCCTTCCCAAGCGGCACTGGGTTTACTCCAATAAAATACCCAACAGAGGAGGCAAATTCTGCCTCGAATTATTTAGCAACATTTAATCCTAGTGGCAACATGTAGTCCAATTATTACAATAAAATATTTATTTCACGATCCCTGAAGTTTTCGGATTCGATAAGCCTACTAATTTTAATACATATAATTTTTTTACCTGAGTGTAATAGCAAGTCGTTCTTCTGGCGAAATAGCTTCACGATAATTTGTGTCAGATTTTCGTATTTCATCTTTCTTCAAGTTCAATATTTCATCGAAACACTCTGGAGTCATTCTAAAATATACGTAAAAGCGCTGTTCATCCAACCGAAGTTGTGGCATCAAGGTATGGTATTCCCCAAATTTATTTCGTTCCAAGTTAATATCATGTACCCACTTCCTTCGTTTCCTAAACAAAATTGAAAATATTTGTTTTATGTACTTCGTTAAACTTAATACATACCCAACTATCAAATGGCGTTAAATAAACATAACTTACCGTGCATTTTGTTCCTCTTCTAAAGCAAGAAATAGAAGTGCCTCCTCTTCTTCTGAAGACGAGCTCATTGCAAAAGGCAAAAATAAAATGTACGCAACCTGTCGAAACCTTCACGTTCGCGGAGCGAATAAGACGCTTTGGTATGAATAAACAGGCGAAACAGATTGCGAATTTCGCTCTGAATTTCGTTGCGAATACTTCGCCACGATTATTTCGCGCCGGTTTGTGGGATGCTTTTTCATGGGCCACTTGAAAAGGGTCTGTGCACTACTTCGACACAAGCCGCACGCGCTTGCTTTTGTCTCTCTCTACAAAATTAAATGGGCTACTTAAGCATAAGCATGTGTTGCAATTTATACAGATCCGAACAGATCTAATGCGAAGTACGATATCTGATTGGTCGGTCGGTCCTCGGCGGTATTGGCATATTGGTCTTGTCGCGTGAGGTGGCTTAAAATTTGAATGCGAAACATTTTTTATTTAGGTATTTTGGGTCTTACGTTGAGTGACTAATGACTCACTGACTGACTGTGGATATGTAGAAGGGTAGTGCAAGACAGTGGATGTGGTTTACAGACTTATCAGCGTGAAACGATTCTGGAAACACAAATTTCAAGAAAAAATTAAGCTGAAGGTGTCAGGTCGACCGCTGCCGGACATATTTATAAAAACACAGGGCGTTAGTCGGGGCAAGAGCTATACGCGGCTTTTCAGCAGGAAGCTTTACACCAGAAATGACTGTATTTGTGGGTGCAACAGGAAGAATGCCCTTTTCTGCTTTCCTTGCATACTTTTCGGCGGTGACAAAGCTTGGACGGAGGTAGGTGTTACAGATTTAGTGCCCCAGAGTGAAAAAATTAAGAAGCTTGAAAACTCTAAAACACATTTCATAATTCGATGGAATTGGCTTTATTGGGGATTGTTAACATCAGAACTGTTAGATTCAGATATTTGAGAAATACACAACAGCATAATGATACCGTTACAAAAAACAGATACGTTCTATCAAAAATAATCGATTGTATAAAATTTTGCGGAGCATTTGAATTGGCGCTATGGGGTCACGACGAAACCGAGAGCTCCCAAAACCCGGGAATATTTCGTGGACTGATTAATTTTTCTGCTGAGCTTGATACAACCTTATGCGAACACATAAAAAATGCTTCAATATTTAAAGAAACTGTGAAAGAAATACAAAACGATCTACTGGATTGTAGTCTTGAAGTTTGTCATGAAGAAATAATAAAACAGATTAACAGAGCGTCGTATTTGGCGATAATAGCAGGTGAAACAACGGACATTTCGGGGAAAACCCAACTGGTAACAATTTTCAGATACGTATTTAACGGCGAACCAGTAGAACGTTTTTGGAATTATATGAATCCCGAAAAATGTGACGCTGATACTCGCACAAGACATATTTTGAGCGTCGTAGAGCCATTAATAGGAAATTTCTCTAACAAACTGATTTCACAATGCTATGATGGAGCCGCGGTAATGAGCGGACATAATGCTGGAGACCAGGCAAAAATTAAACAAAGATATCCATTTGCTCACTATGTGCATTGCTATGCGCATCAGTTAAACCTGATTATGTCCCAAGCTGCTTCCGAAAATGCTCAAGTTCGGGTGTTCTTTGGGGATTTGAAAGATATTCCTGGATTTTTAATAATTTTCCTCAACGTGTGGAGGTACTGAACAGAATTGTGGGGAAAAAATTCCCCAAGGAGCAACAACTCCTTGGAATTTTAATATTCGAACAATAAATGTAGTGTTTGAGAACAGAGAATCACTCATTGAATGCATGGAAGAAATAGAAGAAAATTTCACTAATGAAACCGTTTGCAATGCAGCTTGCGGTATTCGCCGTATGTTAAACGATTCTGTTTTCGTGTTTTGGTTGACATTTTTTCATCATAGCATGCCTCACGTCGACATCTTGTTCAACCAGTTGCAGAAGAGAAAAACCGAGACAGCGCCAGTTAAAACGGCTACCGATAATTTTGAAAAATGTATTGTCGATGTGAGAAATAAAATTGATGACATGATAAATAAAGCCAAAAGTATTTGCACTGAACCCCAAGGCAGCAAAAGGAGACGACGTAATAATAGCAGTCACGATCACCGAGTTGCCGCATTAGAAATATGTGACAATATAGTGAATTCTGCAATTCAAAGATCATTTGGTAGCCGCATCCCTTTTTTCCCCGAACACTTCGGAGAATACTGTGGTAAGTTTCCTGATGACAAGTTGGAAACTACCTGCTTGGCTTATCCTGAATTAGAAAAAAGTCGTTCAAAGACAGAGTTGTCTGTTATTTATGCACGGAATGATTGCCGAGATTTACATGGACTCTGTCTCTTTTGAAATTTTTGATACAAAATAGTTTGGAGGAAACACTAAAAGAAACAAAAAAGCTATTAGAAATTATTGTTACAACTCCTACGTCAACATCAGAGGCTGAGCGAAATTTATCAACATTGAAAAGGATCAAGACCCTTTCTTCGAAATACTATGACCTAGGATCGCCTTACAGCGTTGTCGATGCTGTTCATTGAAAAGGAATTTATTTCGACCATGGAAAATTTCAACGGGAAGGTGATCGAAAAATTTGCTGCCAAGAATGAGCGCAGGAGCGAAATAACATGTAAAAAATAGGCGAGTTCGGATTTTGCAGAACACCTGATTTATTTTGCCACGAGCCGCCACTGCTGTACAGCGTGAGCAACGATGAATGTTATTCGCCCTATCTTCCGTGGTCGCCTTATTTCCTCGGTTCCAAGATTTATCCATCAGCGATTTGTTTCCTATGGGGACCCCAACGAACTCTGGGCAAGTTGAGAGAACGATGTTGGACAGAGTCTATGCGAACGGCTGACGTGACTGTCCACACTTAATTGTGACAAACGCTATTTCATTGTGCCGTCAATAAATTTGTTTTTGAGTAAAAATGACCGATTTTATGATTTTTTAAAGACCGTCCGACCGTTGTGCCAGGCCCTGTATATATGTATTAAGATATTTACTTGTACATCTCCACCAAAAAATACAGACACACTGGCATTATTCTGTTGCGTAACTTTCAAAGGTCTACAGTAGACAATGTCGTTATATCTATCTTCAAATCCATGTACTTTCAATAATCTTATTATAGTTGGCAAATACTTATTCGTCATGTTAAAGCCAAACCTGAAAAAAAAATAACCCGAAAATTATGATTGTGTGGAGGAACCAGGTAGTACTATCATTTCATAACTATAGGTAACTAAATTCAATAAAACTCAATGAATCTGTAGTTTGCAGTTTATTTATCAAAACATTACAAAATTACAAATAAAACAAAAGTCAAAAACTAAAAATATACTAAAAAAACTACATTTGACTAGTTCAATTGAAGCTGTTTGCTAGTGTAGGATTTAAAAAAAATATCTTCATGTTTTTCTTGAAACCTGTGGTTCATGAGATCTGTTTGAAAATCGACATTTGTGGTATATGTACATATTTTTACATATGTAGAAGACTTTTTCGCGATGAACAGTGCTCCACGAGGTAAAAATAAACCACGATTCTCAAAATAATAGCCAAACCACATTTTCGAACACTTTTTTTTAATAATACACCTCCTCAGTACCCCTGACATGATTACAAGTAGTGATAACTTTAAGCCTAGTGTCCTCCAAACATTGTGCAAAGTCTTCCTTAAACTCCTTCAGTTTCTCCCTAATCTCTTCCCTCATAAGATTATAGCACATAGCAACCAGCCCCAGCCCGAAAAGAATATAGACAAAATTGATCATCAACTTTGTCTGATTTCCGTTATGTGAACCCGCTTCGGCATAGATGTTCGCACCAGGCACGAAATCGCCAAAACCCAGCTTGCACAGACTGGTCACGCAAAAGTAGATGGAATCCAGGAAGTCCCAGCGTTCCCAAGCGCCGAACATGACAGCTCCTGTCAATACGTAGGCTGCTATCACCCATAAGCAGGCCGTGGAGGGAACTATGATGCGCTTTGTGCTCTCTGTGACGTCATTGCCGCTCTCCGTGCCGCATTTGTACATCCACCTGTCAAATAATAGGACATTACATACCTAGGTTGAAAAGTGCGTTATTACGGTATGAAGTTGGCCCAATGCCCCAAAACACGATATTTGTGAATTTATTTGAGGGCTAATTAAAATTTTATTTCAAATATAATATTTTTGGTTTCTTTAAATGTTTATGGAAAGATAACAAAACCGACGCGGCTCTCATTTTCGAATATTTTAGCATTACCTAGCAACTGGGTACATGTATTTTGAATATTGAGTTAGTTTTTAACATAAATGTAAAGGCAAATCTACCTGTAAATCCACCTGAACCCCTCTGCAAGTGCGTCTCCAACATTGAGGAAGTAGAGTATATACAGGGGGATCCCAAAAAGTGCATATATGACAGTGGCCAGTTTACCATATGCAGTTTTTGGCACCATGTTGCCATATCCGATCATCGTGATGATACTTAAGGAGTACATAAGAGCTGCTGGGAATGTCCACACGTCGCTCATCTTGCGTTCGTCGTAACCGTGGCGGAATACTTCTACTACAAGGTTCTGGTACTCTTTTAGTACATAGTCAGCTTCTCTTATAAAGACCCTATTACAAGGAAAATATACATGTTCAAATTCAGAGCCAATATTGCACCTTCCAAACTGAAGATCCAACGCAAAATTGATTACCTTAGCATCATCTATGAAAATTAGTCACAGCTATTTTTTGCCTACTACAAATAAGGTTCTAGTTAAAAAGTGACTCTTGCATGGCGCTGTTTATATGAGCATATAAATGTGACTACAGCTACTGTTTGCCAAACTGTGCTCTGATTAACCGCTGCCACATTATGCTGGATATTTACCTCTTCTCAAAAATGTTACACATCTCTGCAACCTGGTACAGCTTGTGTGAATATACCCCTCTCAGCTTTGTTACTTCTTTCAGTTTGACATTCTCTCCACCCTTTTCAATGTGCATGAAACTGACTGCTCCCACAAGTGTATAGCCAAAAACTAGGGCTCCTACACCTACCTAGTATACCAATTTCAAAACATTACAAGGGCATACTAAATAAAGAAATCACTCATATAATATTACATTAAGCTACAGTAGCATACTACTACTAAAGATAATGAAACCATTTAACAATTTTAATTTTGACTATCCCCTGCTATTTTACAATTTCTACAAAATTTAGCAGGAATATCTGCCTTTAATTCAATTTTGGAATCAGTACTTATTATGTGAAATGGATTATGAATTTTATTATCAAAACTGCCAAATATTACAATATTTTGGCATTTTTTGAAATAACAATGGTATGTTAAAATAATTGATAGTTTTAGCAGAGAAATAAATTGCGTATCTCTTTAATTTATAATTTCATGTTAGTCTTTTTGTGCTAATACTTTTGTTACATGCCTTCTTTTCCTGAAAATGTTTTAATACAGTATTAAAACTATATCAAAATGAAGACCTATATCGAGATCAAATTCTCAACGTAGATAATAGGAATAATAACACATGGTTCAGTAAGTCCCGGGACTCACCCACAAATGGCGATACTAATGACAAGTCAACTTCATTTGTCGAAAGAGCTAACTTTCATGTGACACCTGTGAAATTTTCGCGAAAATCGCACCACAAACAGCAAAGATACTGCGGTGAAAGTGAGGTTACTTTTGGATTTGTTTCCAAAATGGACAAAAACGAATTTCGTGTGTTGATGAAACATTGTTATTTAATGGGAAAGAATACCATGCAAGCTCAGCAATGGTTTGAAAAATGTTATCCGAACTCTGCTCCGTCGAAAACAACGATTTGAAAGTGGTATGCTGATGTTAAACGCGATCGTGCTGATATAAAGGATGCGGAATGCTCGGGTACGCCAAATGAAGCAGTAACTTCGGAAAATGTTAAGCAGGTTTTAAAAATCGTGATGAATGACCGCAAACTGAAAGTTGGTGAGATTACTGAGATGGTACACATATCAACCGGAAGTGCATTTACCATCTTACACGAAAAGTTGAGTATGAAAAAAGTTATTCCGAAATGGGTGCCGCGTTTTCTCACAATGGAACAAAAGCAACAAGTTGACAACAGGATTTCTTGCATCAGTATGTGACAGTAGACAAAAAATGGAACCACCATTTTACTCCGGAATCAGTCAGCTGAGTAGCGGGCAGCTGGTGAAAGCTGACCGAAGCATCCAAAAACACTGCAGTCAGCTGGCAAAGTCATGGCGTCATTTTTTTGGGACGCACAGGGTAAAATTTACATAGACTACCTTGAAAAAGGTAAAAGTATCAACAGCGATTATTACATAGAGTTACTGATGCGTTTAGAGGACGATATCGCAAAAAAAAACGACCGCACATGAAGAAAAAAATCATCTTTCATCAGGACAGTGCACCGTGTCACAAGTCAATAAAAACAATGGCCAAATTGAACGGGTTTGGCTTCAGTCTGCTTCCCCATCCACCGTACTCTCTAGGTCTAACCCCCAGCAACTACTGATCTCAAAAAGATGCTCCAGGGAAAAAGAGGAAGTTATCGCTGCAACAGAAGCTTATTTTGACACCAAGGACAAATTTTTCTTCAAGCATGGTATCGAGAACTTGCTGGCTATTATGTTGATGAATAAAAATAAATTTTGCGAAACAAATGCTGTTTTCATGGTTAGTCCTGGGACTTATTGAACCATGTGTTATATATCATTATAGAGGTTTCATCATAGTTTAAGTGAGCAAATTATACAAATTCAAAGATAATACTTAACTGAGTGCACATAAAAGCGATAATCTTCCTACAACAATCTTTCACTTTCTCTCTAGGATCTTGAGGAGGAGTGTGGTCACTCCCCATGGAGGTCCCTCCCGCACTACGACTGCTGCCCCTTTTATATCGACGTTCCATTTTTTACCAGCAGAATCACTCTTACTTATGCTTACATACATTTATTGCCTAACTAGTTTTCTCAGATAGGTGTGAATGCGAGTATATAGGGATACGATAAATCGGTAGTGATAGGTTGGTAATGTAAACGTACCGTTGATATTTTGGCCACGAGCCAAAGCGTCTGTACTTTTATTTTTAGAAGTAAAATCAGGATTCTCCTCGGTTGTTAGGACTTGGATGGGTCTTCTTAGCGATATATTCCGTAAAATTATTTATAATAAATACTTACCTCTATATTTTTGTCTTTTGCAGTATCCAATAACAACAATTATTGTGTTCAGTAGGTCTATTTTATTAATATTTTAAATAAAAATCGATTTTTGTTTATTCTGGTTAAATATTGTGAGGTTACGTTTCAACGAGCTGTCAATGATCACAAAACGCAAAAGTTAAACGGGGGTACAAAACGAGGAATAAAGAATAAATAATCTCATTGTGAATTCAAAATGGCGCCACAACGTTGGCGGGCAAGCAGTATTTACAAGGATCACCAAATGAATTTTTTTCAGAAAACAATACAAATTTAGTTGATGTTTTCATCCGAATTTTTAAAGTTTTCTGTCTATATTACCATTTTACATCTAAACCATAGATACATGTATGTACCTATTGTCACAGATTCTACAATGTTAGCACTAATAGGAATGCAAACCTAAGAGGACCCAAAGCGGTGTACCTTTACGTTACGAGCCCCTTCCCACTTCAAGATTTGTACCAAAATATGTCTTTATAAACTAAACATGACGAAACTATTTACTTCTAAAACAATTTATTTTCTCAAAAACATTTTAGATACACTCTAGTCGTAAAAAATACCTACATATTTGAAATCACTTAGACCTATAACTAATAGAACATCTGAACAAATAAACAATGTGCTAATAAATGCGCGAAGTTAACAAAGCAACAATTGAAAGATTACCATTGGGTAACATCACCTTTATTTTTTATTACGGCTGAAATTCTTTGGGGCATAGTGTTTACCAAGTTTTGGCAAAAATTTGGTGTAAAACAATCCCATATTTCTTGAAGCTTGTGTCTCAGTTCGGTGATTGTACGAGCAGGATGTTGTCGTAGAACCTTTTTCATCTCGTGCCACAAAGTTTCAATAGGTGACAGATCTGGACTGCTAGAAACCCATTTCAAAAGTGGTACATTATTTTCTTCCATCACTGGTAAAAGCGATTATTCTAAAATTGCCAAATATTTGTTTGTATCTGTGCTCCATTGTATTGCACACCATTGTTGAGGTGTCCATTGTCTATGTTCTTTAGCCCATCTAAGCCGATTTTTCTTTTCCAGTGGAGTTAATAGTGGCTTTTCTTTGGCCTATAAACAAGTTGTGCAACTTTATGGTTTTTACTTCACTTTTTTTTTTATATGAAAACTTACCTTGCAAGTGCTAAATCCCAGTTTGAGGACCTCGAAATTCTCCTTCCAACAGCGTCACTCCACAGAGCACTTAATTGTAAATAATTGGCACGCCTGTTTTCCACGATTATTCTTCTTAATGCTCTTCAGTCGGCATTTGTGATATTACTTTTTTCAGATATCGTGGCTTAATATTAACTGAACCAGTTACGTTATATATTCTAGCAATATTTCTCACACTGTACCGCGATAAGTCTAACAAAGTTGCAATTTCTGAGTTTAAAAAATTTAATTATCAGTAACCGAATTTACTCGCTAATAACATTTCCTCTACCCATTTTGAAAACCTTAACTACCCAAAACTATTTTAAACGAATTCTGACAGCTGTGATTAATAAAAACAATAGTCATGGCTTTTATTTTTCACAGCCACCTATGCCTTATAGACTTATTTTGCATTGAAATGAAAATAGGTTGATATGCTGTAATTGCAACATGCGTTATTTTTATGCTGCAAGTTTGATTAGGGAGTGATAAAGTTGGTATTTTCTACTATATATTATCAAAATATTCATTGTTAATATTTTAAACCTATAACACCCTGCTACATTTTTATTATTTGTGTTTGATAAGAAAAAAACTGAGATTTCAATAGTTGGGCCAACTGAAGTGGGAAGGGGCTCGTATATATGCCACTAATTGGTAGGCAATAACTCTGATATCATAGGTGTAAACAGCAACACTAACTTGGTGCTGCTCACTCACTGTGGTCAGTATTGGATAGGTGAAATCATTCTCCCTATGAACGATTTATTAGTGGTAATACACAATTTTTTATTTTGAAATTTGGGGAATATTATTGAATAACACACTGACTTAAACAATATTTATTTAAAATACAGAATGAAATTATGTATCTTGGTTACAGGAGCAGGTTTAATTCTGGATGACATGGATTTTGACTTTTAAAACTGCACAAAGAGAATAATACTTTCCCTAGATATAAAAAACACGTTTTGATCGAGAGTATTTTATAAAAGGTTATGCTAGAACTGTTTTAAAAGGAAAATTTCCTATGACAGATGTATATGAAAGCAATTTAAATTATTTTTTCAATCAAATGATCTCAAAATGTTGACATGATGATCTTCCATATATCTTGTAGCCATCAAAATACCTGCAAATCAATACTATACCAAATACTTTAATTAACATAACATAGGTTTGAATATTTTTTACTACATATAAAAATTAATATAATGTTGGATTTTAAAACATTTGTATACAACACTATAAAATCCATTTGAAACTCTGTCAAACATATATTTGAAAGTCTACTTTGGGACAATTGTTTTATTAATAGGCAAAACAATGCAATTTTAGAAATGAGCATTTTCAAAAATGTTTGTCAAAATAAAATTTATCAACAGTTGGAACAAATTGAAGATACCTAAGTAGACTCTTCAGGACTATGCCATGCAATTCGTTCTTCATAGAACCGTATCACCACCTGGGGGCATTTGACATTCGCTTCTTTTGCATACACCAAGTCTGTGTCCTCCGAGTCCTTCCATTTCATCAAAAACATAAGTTGACCAGTGGTATCGGAAGCACCGATAATTTTCTCGGCCTCCAGCCCTTTCTCGAAGGCGGATTTTTCTTTTTTGCCTGCTTTTTTGTCTTCCGATTTTCGCGGTTTTTTAGACGACTCATCTTCGTCATCTGTCTTCTTCTTAGGCGGTGCTTCCTCTTTCTTCTTTTTCTTCGGTTTGTCGTCATCGGAATCGTCGGAATCCGCTACTCTCTTAGATTTTGGGGCTGATTTTCGTTTCTTTTTCGTCTTCTCTGGTTCCGATCCTGAATCTTCCTTTTCATCGTCAGACTCTGGCGATGCTGAGCGATGTAATTTTTTCTTGTCGGACTTTGTGGAATCCGAATCCACTGATGATGTAGAGTTCTCTCGCTGACGTTTCTTCTCTTTGCCGCCGCCCGCTTTTGCTTTCAGTTTTCTGTTTTTCTCAAACTCGGCGATCAGCTCTGGACAATCAAGGTTTTCCTTCGGCTCCCAAGTATTGTCTTCATCCTTGTAGCCCTTCCATTTGAGAAAATACTCCACCTTACCATTAACGACTCGGCGGTCAATAATCTTTTCGACTGAATACTCTTCCTCGGATTCAGATTCTTCATCAACCTTCTTCTTCGCCATACTGGTAGATTTATAAAACTTTTTACAAAAATACAAGCTAGCTACTAACTTATCAAAACGTGAACCGACGCTTTACCACGGAACACTCAACGTAGAAGAAAATAAGCCCAATATGACCTTTCAGTTCTGACAAAGAGTCTACTTCTAGGTAATACTAGCGACACCACCCAACAACATATTCTAAGGGGAAATTCCATCGAGAGTGAGTAGGAAAATCGGCGTGGTTTTGTTACTCACATACCACGTGCCTATGCTGATTGGTCGATTCAATTAAAATGGCGTTGATTCATACTGCTTTTCTCCATGATACCAATTTCACCTCTTCTATTTCGTTCTTACTCTTTTGTTTTCGTCATATTTTGTTCTGTGTAGGGATGTGCACCATAAATAAACATCGATGGTTTTTTCGATGTAATGCATCGGAAGGGAGCAGCATCGATGCACATCGATGTATCGAATAAAAACATGGATGTTTTCGATGTATCCACTTTTTCTGAAATTCGATTCAGTTCGAATGATACCAAAATATCAATCAAATGTGCTGATTACTGGAATTTAGCTTAGATTCGAAACAAACAAATTTAGTATTGTTTATTCTTAAATTAACATCATGAAAACAGAAAATATAATATCCTGAAAAGTTATAAAATATAAAAATAATAAAAAATTCGAACGTTAATAGTTGTGAACATATAAGAACATATAAACTATATTATTACATAAAATGTCAGTGTATTTAACAGCACAACACTAGTCCGAGTCTCAGTATTTTTTATCCAAACTTTGTAAAAACAAAATCTTATTTAATTTGTTTCTTTGTTCATTAAGGATTCGTCCTGCTTTCTACGGTGCGTTCCACCGTTCTCAATTTGTCAGTTGTCACGTATACATGATACTCGCTCCTTAAGACTGCATTATATGATCAAGAAAATTATTATTCCACAGGAAGAATACCTATACTAATGGAAGAGTTTTCGATTCATCCATAAAAATACATCGAGAAACATCGGAAGCGTTCGATGCATCGGGTAAAATCGATACATCGAATTCTAGATCTCGATGTTTCCGATGCACCGATGTATATCGAACATCTCTAGCCTCTGTGCACCGTGTTTTGGTGGGCGATTTTACAAAACTTGATTTTGGCGAAATGCAGCGCTATTTCTGAAAAATAGCATGTCTCAAGAAATTGATGTGGATGGTGGTATAAAACCTCGTTTCGATTACAATATGCCGTTAGAGGTAAACATACAAGCTAGGTTATACTTTCTTGAATGATGCAATATTGATGCCTTTCAGTTAACTAGGAAGCCTCTGTCGAATCCTGCGTCCCAACACACCTTTAGCTTGGAGGAAGAAGTAACCAGAGCTATGATTTCGGACGATATCAAATACCCACGCATGATGGGAATGTCCAATCAGTATGACAGTGGCCAATGGGCGATATCATCAGACCACTGCTATGCTAGACCATGGAACTGGAGACCAGAAGAACACTTTTTAAGGCCCACCAAGACCTTGTTTATACATAAAGCTATTGGAAAACGATCAGTTAATCCATTGGCTCCAGTACAGGATGTTGAGGATATTGTTGATGTAGAATCGGAGGGAAAGGCTGGTACCATCTATGATCTGAATAAAGCCAAGAGTTTGATGGATGAATGTGAAAAGTATGCATTTAATGCTAGGGTTGATCAGGATGAAGATGATTGGGAAGACAAAATTTCAAAGTATGTTTTTATAAAAACTACTGGTTATCTCACCAATGCCATATAAAATAAGCAAATAGACTTACTGAACCATGTGTGGGGCTGAAGCTTCATAGGAAAATTGCACTCGCTTATATGAATTGGTTAATAATAATTTATTCACATCAATTA